TTAGATTATCTTACACAATCGATGGATACAAATTTGGATATTATTTTGAATTTTTTACCGCTGAAAACATCACATCATAAAATATTAATTATTTACGCATCAATTTCTCTCAGCGTTAGTTTACCAGTTTTTTTTAATGCTTTCGAAATCGAATCAGTTTTACGGATTTAATCATTCGGATAAATAATATAATTGTTTTCGATATACACCCCGAGAGAAAATTAGAAAGCTCATTAACTCCTAAATTGAATTAAATTATAATTTAAATCTCACAAAATATCTCGTCGAATTATTGTTGTGTTTCATAATATGGTTATATTACATGTTGCATAGTTTAATACAGTATTCACGAATTAATTGATACGATATTTAATATAAATGCATTTATAGCAATGTTTAACCTATCGTTTTGTATATCTCATTTATTTATTTATTTATTTTTGTGAGATGTCGTTGATATCGAAAATTCTTCGACGATGATGTATCGGCTATCAATTAAGAATGAGATTGCAAAACGTGTTGATGACACGCGCCATTTCTTTATAACGATAGACATCTTTTCTCCAAATATAATTAACTGTATCCCAAAATAGTAATTTCTTATTAATAATTGAACTTATCGATTGTCGGCTCCGTGTGCAGCTGGATGCTGTTCTAAATTAGAAAACCGATACGACCTGCATTTGATATTGCTGCACGATTTATTTTTATTTTCAATAAAAAGAACATTTTTTCTTTTTTTCTTTTTCCTTTTAAGTCCTTAACGATGTGAAAAGTTAATAACTTTATAAAAAATTGAAAGTACTAATGTAATTTATTTCTAGGGTTGGCTAATATAAAAGTAAACTATACACATGTAAATATTTAAAAATACATCTCAAACAGTTAAATTTTTTTAAGAGTTTACAATTACAATTAACAATTTTTTAAAAGACAGTGTTTATTTTTTATACAATTTTTATATACCTAATTAATTAATATACATATGATTGTGTTTGGTTATTATATTTTGAAATAATATGTATAATAAAATTAAATAATATTTTAATATAAAAAGAAAAAAAAGGAAGAGTAATTGTTAAAAGATAAAGTATATAATTGGATTCTGATATGATTCTCTTTACTATTACCTATTGAATGACTCGTGTAATTCATTGCATATTGAATAATACTGAATACATAGCCAATTAATAACCACATTATAGGAAACAATAATTCCATTAGCGTTGATGAATTTTACGAAAAGCCCCTATCTCTCTCATATAAGATATTTATTTTGTTAAAACTTGATATTACGTTAATTTTTATTTAAATATTTGTTTGCCGCATATGTGACCATTTGTGATACTTTGATAAACAATGATGCTTATTTAATTTAGAATTGATTGAAAAATAATAATATACAGAGAAAGTTGTTTCCATCGTTAATTCAATTTTAAATGAATGGCAGCGCATTGAATCTATTATTCAAAATAAATTACTTTTCCACTTGTCAAGAGAAAATAGATGTTTTCTCAAAAAGATTTAATAAAATTTCAAGATACGTGAAACTTTATGCAATTAAAAGATTGTCGTTATAGATTAAAGGTTATAAATGTTAATACATAACAAACACTTCCAATTAACACTTTTTTAATTAACTGACAATAAGTTTGTCCTAAAATTTAAGTAAAAAATTTGGATTTTAATTTTAGTTTAAATCAGTTTTTTATAATTAAGTCATAATTAAGTAAAAATTCATTATAATTATTCTAAAAAATGATACAATGCAATGCATTTTAACTGCACTTATTTTAGTATTTATAATCGAGTTTACATAACCAATTAGCAAAGTTTTATCAATATGAAAAATTTATTTCAATATCGAGTCTATATATCTATTTGTTTAATTGTAAGACAAATAATTCAACTTCAAATCTCTTTTGAAAAGAAAATCTTGTTATTTTATATCGTATACGCTTATTTTTTTTTACATCTCGTACGATTGCATTTTGAAGAATAGCGAAATTGCTATTCTAACATCTATTTATCTCAAAAGCTTGAAAAGGATATTATGAAAGAGAAAGAAAAGAGGAATATTAAAGGCGTCTCTCTCTCTCTCTCTTTTCTGTGCCGTTCATATATATGTGTAGTTACGTCCGTTTGTTACGTGAGAATATAAAACTATTTTCATCGGAAAGAAAACGAAATCGAGGGAAACGAGCTCCGTTTTCCAGCTTAGAGAAGGCAGGAAGGAAAGCTTCGCCGGAACGCAACACGAAAGTTGCAAATGGTCAAAGTTACGCGGGGCGCAGAATCGGAGGTCTTTCCGTGTAAGTAATCGAGCTTGCAAGTTGTGCTTTGGAATAAAGCTCCAGTCTAACGATCGGACAGCGTGCGTGCTTGGAAAAGAAATTATTGTAAGTTTTGCACCTGCTCCTGGAAATTTTATAGCTATTCGGATTACGTTTGATTGACTCGTTATAAGTTTTTCTGCGCCTCCGCAGTTAACGTTTTATAGAAAAATTTATTCAATTATATAAGATCACTCGTGCGCGCAAATATAAAAGAGAGACATGTTAAAAAAATCTCTTTTAATAAAATCAAGAATTTTTATTAATTTTGGATAGGTGCAATTTTTCGACATTAAACCATTTAATAAAAAGAAAGCTCGAATTAGCTTGGCAATAATAACAATACTAATAATAATAGTAATAATGATAATAATACAACAGTAATATACCGCGGAAAATCTTTTATGTGGCGGAAGCAAGCAATTCTTTTTGTCATAATATCGTTCGAGCGGATGAAGCCCTCGAGGAATTTTGTGCTACCTCAATGTCAACCTCAAAAGTTATTACGCGGTGGATCCATTTGACCTAGATTCGTAAATCTCCGGAAAGTTGGCCGTACCATCAAAGACCAATCCATAGATCCGCGAACGAGATCGCCCGATGGATAAATCGATTCTGATAAATGCTGCGAAATTAAGTTGCTGGGCCGCGCTCGATATTTCCAGCGCTTTTGCCACATGATAACGCTAAGCGGATTACGAGCAAAACTTACATATCGCGAAAACGCGCAACGGATTAAAACTAATATGATTGCCAACAAAAAGTTGGTAAAAAATTGAATAAACTAGACTGTGGAATTGGAGCCACGTATAAAAATCGTCTCGCGGTATCTAAAAAAAAAAGTTGCAATAGAGAGAAATTATATTAAACGAGAAAAACTGAAATAAATGCTAACAACGAAAAAAATAGCAGATAATAGGCCGGTAGATTATATAATATTTCATAAATAGCACAAACGTTTTAAATGAAAAAAGAGCACAGAATATTTACTTAAGTTAATTATATATATTTTAAAATATATATACATTTTTATGCTGAGAGACTAACTAATTCAAAAATCAAATATCACGGCGACTCTCTATCAGACTATTGTTATACTTTTTTTCATTTAAATTTTGAAGTTTCGAATGTAAAAAGTATCCACAGACATAAACGCTAAAACTGCGACTGTGATTTACGCTGATTGCATGCGGTAAACATAGTTACACGTATGAGGCATAGAGGTAAATTGATTTGGGAGAACTTATAGACTTGTATTTCATAATAAAAGCCAACGTTACAATTGATTTGTGACGTAGGCTATTGCTGTGTATTGCATAGGGTATATTGCAGCGTTCACCGTAATAATCTCGCGTGTTTGCAGCCTTTGAAAGATTTATGAAAACTTGTTGACCCGTATGAAGTTATTCCTCCCGTCCCTAACTTTATTGTTAATAACTTTATTAAAGGTATGCAAATGAGAATTCAACTTGGACTTTAATGTGCAAATGAAAATCGATCGAAGTTAATCAAAAATTAAATTTCAAAAATTTAGGGGTTAATGTGCGAAATTAGTACCCCTGATTTTTTTAAATTAATTATTTTTAAATGCGTGTAAACAAAAATTCAAAAACAAGCATGTGCAATGAAATGACGTACCTATACAATTTTTTTTTTAATGTTGACGTAACTGTATACGAGTTAATTTTGTTCCACGTTGAGAGAATATTGAATGGAGGACATAGCTATTTTTGTAAAAGACAATGGATATAATAATAAAAAAATTATTCTATCTTGTAAAAGTGTGAAAGCTGCATCCTCCTTTTTCTGCAAAATTTTTATGAAACATTTTTATTTACATTTCTTTTATTAAAGATTGGGACCAAATAACTTTTTTCTATGCTATAGACATATGTTTATAGTAGATGTATTTCATCATTTATCATGCTAAAACTCTTCGCATTTTTTATTTTACAGAAATTTGATTAAAGCAACGTCATCGTGTCTCGCCTTGTGTTTACTTTTATGTCAAGATTTTTCGCTGATCGCGCAAAGACATTTTCTCTCTCGTTCTCTCTCTCATACATACACACACACACACACACACACATACACACATAGAATTATCGGAGAATTTTGCGCGCGCTATATACTGCTCGGTATTCCGGATACACGATACATCAGGCACATTCGCAGGGAATTTGTGGGCGACGTGTCGAGTACGTTCCTGAATATATACGTTGCTAGGAATACCGTCGGCGGTATTCCTGCGAGAAGCGTCGCGACGTCTCTCAACAAGGATGACATTTCTTCCTTCTTTCTCTTTCTCCCGTTCTTTTAACTCGCAGTTACACCCGGTTTTACAACGATTTCGTAATATATCCGCAGCGCATCTCCAATATTGAGAAATACGATTCTCAATCTTATTTCTGTATAATAATAAAATACATAAATGATCTTGATCAGATTAATATGACAGATTTATTCTAAAATACTCCATTCTTTCGTTTTTACAAATTATTTTTTCTTTAAATAAAATTTCTATAATTAAATATTAAATATTTTCTATTTATAGTTATATTTAAAATTGAATTTTTGCAATAAAGCATATAATATGATATTTTAAGCAAAAAGTCACACTTTATTTCTGAATGTTTTTTTTAATCTTTATATTTTGTTTATTTGCAGCTTCAATCAACGACGCACAGTGGCCCATTCGTGAGCTCCAAAGGACCACATCAAGAATATCTTTTAAAGGTAACAATAGCACAAAATTGAAGAATAGATGGCTTTTCTAAGTAAGGTAAAATAAAATAAAAATTTTTTTTTTTTTCGCGAACATTAGATACATGAGTCCTTCAATATTTTTACAGACATATGTTGCAAAATAATATTTTTAGCAATACATTTTTCAAAGATGTAAATGTGCGGTTATAAAGGGCCATTAAAGAGCCATAAAACTTTTATCTGAATCGCTTTTTCATATATCTTACGGTTTCAAAGATATTCACTGGAAAAGAAGTATACCAAGTTATCTTTGACGGCTCATTTCAACCCCTAAGCGTACGCGAAAGTAAAATTATAAAAAAAATACGTGTTTCATTTTGAGCTATCTTATAACATATTCAAAGGCCATTAAAATCAGAGAGAGACACTTCCATTTCTTGTTAATAAACGTCCTCGAAAATATTCTTGTAAAATGTAATATTCGAAGAAATTGCGAAATTTTAGAAATATGTTTCCATCACACACAATAATACTACATTTTTTATTTAACACACGTTTTATCGTTGATGTAAAATTATCGGATAGGATGTTGATGTATCGATCGATATTAAGACATCGGTTTTTAAGGAACGTGAATCTAACGAGAGGTTATTATGGTCTTTTTTAATATTCTGCATTTTTTTCGTTAATAGAAGTTTTGTGCTTTTTTCTTCTTAGGTAATATTTGACATGAATATCTCTTACATATTTATATCTCTCAATCTTTCCTCTATTTTTAGTCATAATTTAATACATGATCGATGAGTTTATTTATTAATATTAATGAATTACAACTCAGTTTGTAATTGTTTCTTTATTTTATTGTAGATCTAAATATAGAGCGTAATATTCTCTTCAATCTCAAGTTAATAATACTTAATGTATCTTGACATAATAAAAAAAAAAACAATGAAACGTATAGATAACATTTTTACAAAAATCAAAATTTCATATTCCGATTTTATAAATTTAATTTAATGAGAGAAAGGAATGAAAAGGAAATAGAATAGAAGATGAGGTATGTGTGAGGATGGAAAGCTGGAAGATATATGTATATACAGACATTTCGATGAACATTTGATTAATTAATTACTCAAGACACAAATATTGATTATTTGCTGTCTACAAATAGGAAATATCTGTGTACACAAATACGATTTGTAATTAGATGGATGAGGAAATGCGTTTTCAACCAGAAAAAGTAATCTGTATAATTAATAATAATATATATTGAAGGATTCAATGTAATGTAAATATGGGAAAACGCGGTGTCACTCTTTATTTATACATATAGATATCTCATTAATGCATCTCTCGCACTACGCTATCATCATTTATTTTCTCATCTCCATTTTCCGATGATTTTCCAATTCCTTTTAATCGAGCGTATTTCTCGTCTCTCTCTCTCCTTCGCAGGGTCTCGAGGTAACACTGAGCGACAGCAAGAAGAAGTACAGTGACAAGGTGAGTGCACTCCTGGCAGCCTGGGAGTATGTCACCAATTATATTCCTGCGGCACCGCCCGAGGCCATCCAGTCAGTCATAGAATGGGCTCACAGGTGAGTACAAGTCATTCATCGACTGTTGCATCCGCGATTATGCAGCCGGCTCTCAATTAATGGCCAAACTCGCCAAGACTTCCGACGAGGGGGTTTTAACGATGACACTTGAAATTAATTTTCAGAATATATTGTCAGAATTAATTATATTCATTAATATTATTATCAGAATATATAATTATATTATCAAAATCGCGTCCCTTATCGAGTTACATCGTTGATATCGTTGAAAAGAGCTATCATGTGAGAGATCTACATTAATTAAGAAAAATATGATAGATTAAACTTATTTATATCATTTTTACTCCAAATAATTTCTTTTTCTTTTCTTCCTTTTTTAAGAATTATGTTGACTAAATATTCTGAATGTGTAGAAGAACAATTCTGTCAGCTTTTATAACATTATTCTTATTTTTATGGTTTATATTTATTATTTGTTTTATTTCTCATTTTTCAAGATTGCTGATTGAATTTTATTTTATTTTATTATTTTTATTATTATCAAATTATATATCAATATTATAAAGTATCCGCATATACTTATGATTTACTTGACGCGTAATACGATTTTTTCCTTACTTGGAGCTTTTTTCAACATAAAGATAACACGAAACGAGTTTCGATGTAACAGCGTCATTCTACGGCAGATGAACGTGACGAGAGAGAGAAAAAGCGCGAGAAGGGAAGGGTGATAGAGAGAGACCGACTGCACTGAGAGTAATGAATCTGCACGTATGTAGCGCCGTCATACAAACGATCCTGGAATTTTGAATAGCAATGCGACGCAAATTCACGTTAACGTGACAGGTATACAGCCGAGACGCCTTACAGATACAGGGTGGTCCGAAAAGGATGATTTGTGAAATTTTCGGTTGCTTCTCTCTTAGCGAAGTTGTAATTAATTACCTATTCGGTATTGATTTTAGCGGATTAGTTAAATTATCCTATAGACATGAATAAATAACGAAACGTTGTTTCTCGATTAGTCTAATGGACGTCCTATTCCGACCTTTTCGTTCATTACTTTATCATTATTAATACAAAGATATATACGAGATTATAAAGAGATTGTCATTTCTATAATATCTAATTTGAAAAGGATAAAAATTTAATTTAGATGTATAATAAGTTATAAGTTAATTATTTTCTCTTTTGTTTCTCCTTAATGCTTGTATAAATCTATTGTAGCTACATAATACAATTATTAGATTATCAGGGTGTCTAGTCTTGAAATGTTCTGGAATTTTATTTGTTCTTTAAAATCCCAGAGATGTACTTAAATTTTGAGTCCAAATATGTGTTACACATAAGTTATTTACAGATTTTAAACGTTCAAATATAAGAGAATATTGTAGCTAATATTTGTAATGCATATACAATATATATATATATAAATTTTCATTAACATGCAATTATACCGACTTGATAAAAAAAAATAAAGTTTTCAGTTTCTTGTACATCTTTATTATATTACTGAAAAATCGTGCAAATTTCCTTGAAATGTTCTTAAATTTCATTTTCAAACTTTACTAGACACTTTGGTAATACAATTATTAGATTATTAGTGGATAAATTAAAAATTACGACAACTGTTTGTTTAAAATTAAGACACTTTGAATATATGAACGGTCTGATTTTGGTCAATTCACGAGTATACAAAAATTCCTTTAAAATTTAATTTAGATATAATAAATTATAAGTTAATTATTGTCTCTTTTGTTTCTCGTTAAAAAGCTCGTATAAATCTAGCCACATGATACAATTATTAGATTATTAGTGATGAATTAAAAATGACGAAAAATGTTTGTTTAAAATTAAGAGACTTTGAATGTGTAAATGGTCTGATTTTATTCAATTTGCGAATGTAGAAATTCCTTTTTCGCCTTTTACTTTAATATTCTCGCTCAGGCGCGAGTGTCACAAATACAGGGGCAAACAAAAACAAGTTGCGCGCAAACACGTTGTTCTTTCTACGCGCGGTTTGCGGCTCACTCACGTTGTTGCTCTCCGTTGTGCAGACATACGTTGACACTGGTATTGCGCGGGGAGTGGCCCAAGTTAGCACCCGTCGCCAAAACGCACCTCTGCGTAACGCTGCAGAGGTGTGCAACTCAGCTGGTGCAACATCCCGCTGCGCCCAGGTGTACCGCTCTGCTGACTCTGGTGAACAATCCATGGGCGCATTCCAGCCTCGACAGCATACTTAACGGCCAACCGAATTCCGAAGATGAAGAGGGTAAGAAGAGACAAAGTATATTAGTATCGCATAAGTTGGCCAAAATAGGGCTTTTTTCCTTCTTCAAAGGATGACTCCAGAGTCGTTTATTATATGAATGCATTACTTCAAATTTTCTCTTAGAATTTATCCTGAAATTCATGGTAGGGCAATATGGTATTGGAAGGATTTTATAAGAGTTCCTCTAATTAATATTTATCATAATAAAACATATTAATATCAATCACAATTTAAAATATAGAATATATAATAAAATTTCAATAATTTTAAAATATATTAAAAACTTATACAAGTAATAAAATAAATAAATGTATAATAATTATATAACGAAAAATTATTTTTGTGTGTGTAATTTGAAAATTGACATTTACCTTAAAAAAAATGTAAAAATTAGTTTTGTATATTCAGTCACGTTTGATATAAGTTTGAAAAAAAAAAGAAAAAAGAATTTGATCGTGTTTTATTATTAAAAGTATACAAGTCAAAAATAGATATACTATTAGCGTCCTTATATAGACTTTCCTTGGGAAGAAATTGAAATATCTCGAGATTTACAAAATGTAGTTAGTTTAGTTTACTTTTTTTGCTGAGAAAAATAAAAGTTCTATTTGTCTAGTTTTTTTCTATTTCCTTTTTGAAAATAAATGGACAGAACAGAAGATATTTTAAAAAATGACAGAAAATAATCGAACAAATCAGTCAATATATGTATAATTTAAGAAAATAAAATTTTAATTTTATACATAAAATTTATTTTTTGAATTTTCTTAAAAAGATGAAATGAGAACATTGTTTGGCCAACTCTATATTTTAAGACAATATAATTTTATTTTAACTTTGAACAAAGTATGGATATTTCGGTAATTTTACATTTTGTGTCATATCTTTAGAAAAATAAATTATTAAACACATATTTTTAATGTGTGTTTCTTTAATTGTTTAATGAAGAAGTTTTTTTATTTTGTTTTAAATATCTAGTTAACGTTTAAATATCTAGTTTGAAGATATCAAATGTACTTAATATGATTATAACTGATAAATTTTAATTATCCATAAGTTGTGTATTTGTATTCATGTTGAGTAAAAGATGAATCATAGAATAACATGTGGCATGACACATATATACAGCAGTCACACAATTGCTTGTCTTTAATACATTAAATCTCCAATTGTTCTTGGCCAATAAAAGATTATATTTGTTCAGTCACGGTTTTATAAACTAATCTCGTCGAACATTTATGTTGCAAATTCAGTGAGAAAATTAGTAAAGATTTCGATTTATTTTATTTATTTTTTTTTTATTTTATTTTTATTTACTTTATAGTAGAAAAATTTATGTTTTCTTATTAAAAACGATTCTTGTTACAATTTTTTTGTTAAATATTTAACATATTTATGTGTTAATTTAACATGTGTTAATTGAACGTGTAAACGTTAAATTATTAAAACAACTGAAAAAAGATGTAAAAATAAAACAATGTGTATCTATTTTTCATTTTACGTAATAAATATGTTCTGCTTTATTAATAACAAGCTTTATCTGTTAAAATTTGCAGAAAAAAATGTTGATTTTCTATTTTATAATATAAAATAATTTTCTATTTTCTAATATATAAGTGGGAATGATAAAATCTAAAATTAACATATTTTTAGTTAATTTTTACAGTTAAAATTACGTTAATTTTACACAAAATTTATTTCAAATTATTTGAAGTTTTGCATTTATTTTGTGTTAAAGTATTAACACCATATTTGTATCTCCATTTAACAGTATCCATATTATATTAAATTAACATAAAAATTTCTATGGATCATTTGGGATATGTGATATCTGTTAAATTAAACACAAATTTTTCAACTGTGAATTCAGATCGAATTTCTCGTGGCATTTAAATAAAAATACTTGAGCGATTTCGAGTGAGTTTAATCAAGACAGATTTGGCCATCTGTAGTTTTTTTATTTTTTGAAAAATTAATACATCATCGAATCTGGTGGAGTGACATGTGTGCTTTGGTTTTAGAATTCTGTTGTTCGGAGAAAGGCGAGCTGCTGACGATGAGACTGAAAATACTCTGCGAGGACCGCTGCGAGGACATAGCGGTGAACCTCGCCGCTGCGTGCGTTCGCTCCCTCAGACGAAGCGATCGACTACGATCGCTCTCGGAGTCTCATCACGTCCACTACATGATCGACGTGTACATTGTCCTCTTGTACAAATTGAAACGCACGCAAGATATTTTCGCTCAAGTAGGTATCGATGGAAGGATATCCTCGAGTATATTTTGCCGAAAGTCTCGTTCGATCGTTCCCTTAAAATTCCCTTAAAATGCAAATCTTCGGGAATCTCTCTATGTATAGATTTCCGAATTTCAAATTCTATTCTTAAATCAATTTGATTCATTTGAAGAAACAACAAATCTAGCATTTATACCAAATTACTCTATGATGAGTCACATTGATTTAATTTGCTAAAAGTTGTTAACATACAAAGCTATAATATAAGTATACATCAAAACTCTCAAAAAACATTTTCTTAAACCAATTTGAGTTTGTTAGAATTATTACGTAGTGCATTCGGAAGATTGATACGTTCCTTTACAATCGAAGAAAGTGTCTTGCATGAATTCTGCCGTCCTAGAATTTATAACTGTGCGCTTTGTTACAGTTAAAATTAATGGACCTCAACGACGGGCTTGAATTGGTCCAGAGGCTTAGCGGTGAGAAGCCAACCAAGTATGGAACGGCGCGTGTTTGGAGAAATTCGATAAAGGCCGCGGAGTTGGTCGCGCAGTATCTCGTTACTGCCGGGATGGTTCGACCAATATCAGAAACCGGTGCAAACATTTTAGAGCAGATCTTAAACTCTTGGGCGCTACTGCATGCAAAATTGAAGGACGTCGCACCGACTCTGCCCGGCATGATTAGGAAATTAATTGAACCCGCGGAAAGTGCTCAACATATTTATATCTTCTGTGCAGTACTTGCAAAACATGTAAGTAAACGTTTAATTTAAAATTTTAACATTTTAAAAAATATTTGAGAGACTCCAATATCTTGTTTATTTTACTGGAGGTATTCCTCCAGTGTATAATTTTATTCTCTCAATAAGTAATGAATATACTTTCATATAAGTTAAACAAAGTTAAAAATGAATAAAATAGAAATTTAATTTTCTTTTAATATACGTATGGAGAAATAAAATCTGGAGAAAAATAATCTTTGTTTAATTGCAGTTTGGCGAGAGTATAAAACCTTTGGTGATCGAATTGTATATTAGAGCGCTGACGGCGGACATGAACGAGCTCGAGAGCCAGAAGGCAAAGTCAGACAAGGATAAAGAGCGCGAGACCGCCAAGCGTCTTAGTACGCAATTCCTCAAATTGGCGGACGTAGTAGACGGTAATATCGGCATTGCGAAGGAATGCGTCTTGACGGCATTCTCCTTACATCCTACCAGAGCTTGCTACGACAGAATAAAGGAATTGGCAGTGGCGTGTGGAAAGGCCAAGGAAGACGGTGTTTCGCAAGAGGTGGAAACCATTAAGAGAGAAGACCCCGACAAAATCGAAGAAAAGGATCCAAAAAGAATGATCTCCCTATACCGACTATTAAGCTCAAAACTGAGATAACGGAGAATAACAGCGTTGCGGAAACATTCTCGGCACAGTCGTCAAGTTCGATAGTTTCGGAAACGCATCCGCCGTATCAAAATTCGACCGTCACGAAGAGCGTAGACTTTCAGAATGAACAAGTGACGAAGACTTTCGAGCAAACCAATCAGTTACTAAAAAGTCTGTTAACAGCGAAGCCCAACAAAACCGATACGACAATACCCCCAGCGCCAACAAGTAACAAGTGTCCTCCGTTGCATCTAAAACAGGAATCTCCCGACGAATCGGCCAGCGAACTGAACTTCAATTATGGCAAATTTACTGAGAGCAACAAAATGAGCGACGACAAACCGCAAGTGAACGAAGCTAGCACGATGCCGAGCAACGTGGAGAGACCACCAGATACCCTGCTTGTGATTAAGAGCGAGCCGGTGAATTATGACGAGAAATCTGTGCCCAGTCAAGTTCTCGATGGCGAGAAATTGGGTCTTTCGCCGCAGCTATGCGACGATTTGGCCGTAGTACTGAACAGTCCGCGTTTCAACTTGCTCAGCTGGGTGCTAGATTGGAAAGAGTTGAAGAACTCGTGCGAGCAGTATCTGGAAAACGCCGAGGAAATGCGCAATACGAATAAGGAGCTGAAATTCTTAAATATCGATTACTCGCAGTTCAAGGATTGGCCATCGGAAGACGACACCAAAGACATCTTTTTCGGTATCGAGAAGGGCTACGAGCAGTGGGCCGACCTGCCATCTGACAGTTCCGAACAGTTCGGCAGCTTTCAGCCGGCGGCCGGCTACAAGCGCTCGGCGGCACGCCGTAGTTTGGACGACACCACGACGGACTCCGACAGCGGTAGTGTATTGCGCGTACGACGTACCGCGCGAACGCGTAAGATTCATCGGCTAGAATCGTCCGAGAGCGATTACGACAGCGGCGAGCCTAAACCAAAGCGCTTTCGAGATAGAATCAGCTCGGTATCGGATGACAGCGACAGCAATACGCAAGACAGTCAGACCGATAGTTTAGGTAGCGACGGTTGTCGGCTGGAAACTAAGAAAAAATCCAATAAATCCAGCGGCAAGGAATCCAACAACAAACGACCGAAGACATCGAAGCTCACCGTTGACTCCATCTCGTGTCCTTACATGTTAATGGATGAGGAGACACAACATACAAACGCGCACGAGGACGCCAGCGGATCCTCCGATGTCAGCAGCAACGACATCATCACTCTCTTCTCCGCGGATATGGACGAGAACAAAGAGACGATCAAGGGCTCGGCGTATACCGCTGCGGCGCAATTGATTATCACGACAGAGAGGCGAAGCGATCCGGCGGTGCTCAAAACTCTCAGGATGTACAGACCGCAAAATTCGAAGAAGATCTCGCAGATCCTGCAGAAGAACATGCTAAACAAGGACACCAGCAACGGCAACCGGGTGGACTGCGCCGAGCAACAGGCAACGAACAACATCGTGAAATTTGCACCGATGCTGAGCACGCTAAATCTGAATCCGAAGATCGTGCTGACGCGCGCAGACGAGGCCGACCGCAATCTGATGAACCGCAAGAAACAGCAACAGCGGCTGAGCACCGGTGACATTACCAACGAATTGATTAATATAAAGACGACGATGCCGTTTTCGCCAAACAATAAGAACGTGATGACGTATCAGAAGAAGCAAACATCCCGCGCCTCGAGTGGTAAGAAGAACACCGCCACTAGTAAGAAAACCGACCTAGTAGAATGTTCCGTGGTAGTCGAAGGCCATCGCGATCATCATCGTCTCGGTGGTAAGCCCAACTTGAGTAAGATGAAGTATGATATTCTCGAGAAAGCCGTTAGGGATTCCGATATATTGGCTAAAAATGTACCGGGTATGAATTCCTTGGACATGATGGTGCCGCCGCGGCAACGCTCCACGGTGAACGTTGTGCAGCTTTCCAGGAGTGGTATTCCGCAGAGCCCGAGTTCGACGGGCGCGGCGGCGGCGGCGACTATTAACGTCAGCGGCAACACGCCTCCACGGCCCACGCGCACACCAAGCGTGGCCAGTAACCAAAGCAGCAGCGGTGGCAACAATAGCATACAACTACCGGGCACGCCGTCTTCAACGGGCGGCCACGACAGTGGCGTCGGGATGAGTCCGGCCGGTCAGACACCACCGCTGAGATCTTCGAACCTCGGAACGCCACCGGACGCGGTTGGCGAGGAAGCCAATCAACTGCCGGATGCCGCGTCACCGACGACCATCAGTCCGACGATCCCGGCGACGACGATGACCGCTAACAATCCCTCGACGATACATCAGCTTGACGCCGCCGTCATCGAATCGTCCGGTACAGTGCGAACGATGGCACAGATACGTCGCGCGAGCAACCAGCACAACAATCAGTCGCCAAAAAAATCACCCTCCTCTCCATGCTCCACGGGAACGATTGCCATCTTAACTACGACGACGACAACGACCACGACAACGTCTCCAGGAGGATTAGCCGCGACACCTATCACATCCGAGTCATTGAAGGCAGTCCTCATAAACAAACCGGACGGCAGTTACCATATTACACCGATCAATCCTAATCAGAGGAATCTTATAAGCTTGCAGAATTTGGACGACGGAATTGGTTTTGCGCGACATACATCGCAGCAGCAGCAACAACAACAACAACGTGGTACAGATGCGTCAGGTAGCGTGTCGTCTAATAGAACCGCCTACGATCGACTTGCCGCTTCCTCCGCGAAGAGCGCATCGCAGTCAGGTCAAAATGCCGGTCTGCCGAAGTTTAATCAAGCCTTCCGCAAAACTCTCTATACCTTGTCAACGGATGCGTCTGCAAGTGGCGTCGCCGCGACTGATCCGCCTCTGGGTAATGTCCAGCAAGCGACAGCAGGAGCAGCAGCGTCTGCGCAAAAGACGACGACGAATCTATCAAAAGCGGTGCAAACATCCGTGCCGAACAATCAGCAGCAATCGCAACATCAACAACAACAACAGCAGTCAAACGCTGGCAACATCAACGTGCAATCGATCATTCCCAATCTCCAATTGCCGGCCAACAGGCAGATAGTTAGTATTGTGCCAAGCTCCGGTAACGGCCCGGCAAACGCCGCCATCGGCTCGAACCAGGCCGCCAACCAGACACTCACGCAGCTCGTGAACGCAAACACGCCTAGCACTAGTGTCATATACACGCACAAGGTGATAACCGGCAATAATCCGAATCAGCTCAACATCATACCGACCATATCGCATACCAACTCTGTACCGGGTGGCAGAACTCCAGTGGTTAAACTTAACATCATTCGCCCGGTTAGGCAGCAAATGGCGGGAACTATTCAGGCTGTTTTGACGCCGAGACTGCAGCAGCAGCAACAACAACAACAACAACAACAGGCCGTGAGAGCGGACAGTCTGATGGCTTCTTCGATCGATAACCAAGTGAGCTCGACGACTTTGGAACAGCTACGGGAGTTCGAAAGTGTGCTGGAACAAGTGAAGGAGAGGAGTACTCAGCCGCAGGCTCACCATTCGATCTCCAGCAGCTCGACCACGACAACCGTGCAGACGCAGACTACTACGCAGCAGACCCAGGCAAATAAACAGCAGCAACAGATCTCCGTTAGCGCCCTGGCGCAGCAGTTGATGATGCCTACGCAACCTAGCGCCAACAGCGAGTCATTCGCCAGCAATAATAGTAATACCGTGACATTTCAGCAGGATTCCGTGTTCTCGCAGAAGGTTTCCGTGGCCTATGTGAATCCGAGCAGCGGCAACCAAGCTGTCACCGCTAAAGTGGCGGCCAACTCTGCACCGACGCCGGTAGTCGTGGTCACTAGTTACTGTCAACCGGCAGCATCACCGGCATTGAGCGTCACGTCGCAGAGCTCGTCGAGTCCCTGCGTAACCCCGGCTCCCACGCCATCATCTGGCAAAACTCCACCGACGCCGCCATCTACGGCCGCCACTAAAACCGGGGTGAAGAAATCAACGCCAAAAGCAGTCAAGACCAGCGCCACTAACACGTCCAAGGCGTCGCCGATACCAAAACCGCAACAGAAGCCGCAGGAAGACGAGCAGACCGCTCAGCGGATCTACGCGATCTTGGACGAGTATGCGGAGCAATTGAGAAATTCGCCGGATCTGAACAACAAACCGGCGCCCCGAAGAAGATCCAATCCGCCGACGAATCCGAATCAGTCGTCGAAGAGGAAGAAGTCGAGCTCGAGCAAGAAACCGGCGGGACAGCAAACTTCCGAACTAAGTCCCAGCACGGACGATCTCGGCAGGACTATGGGCAGCGAGGACTCGTCCAGCGGCATCGTACACGTGCAGGACAGCCCGGCTGGATTCTCCGCGCCGGACGAACCGTCGGTGAGCGTCAACAGCCACGTCTCTGCGGACGCAAGCGCGGAGGTGCGCAGTTTAACGAGCGATTCGAACGACGGCGTTGAATTGAACGTGAAGCGGCGTAATCTCATCTTCACCCAGGAGCCGGGTTCGGGCCAGCCGCGCACGGTGATCGTACAGGAAGCGTTGCAACCGAGTTCGGTGAGCGTCAGCGAGGCTCTCGCCTCCGTTACAGGCAAGATGGGAGGTACTTCGGTGCTGATGCCGACCAGCATCGTGCTACCGTTGGTCAAGGGAAGCACTCAGCAGTTTCATATAGTGAGCGGATCTAAGTTACTCACGATGCCAACGACTATGCGTACCAGCGGCAACGCCAACGCTCTAGTGCTGCAATCCTTCCTCAATCAGAGTACCAAGCTGATTACGCCGCACGTGAAGCAGATGAAGATGCAGCCCACCTTGCAGACCCTGTCGAATAACAATCAGACGCTGACCGGTGCGCAGAACGTTCAGACCGCGTCTGTGGTGATACCTCAGAGCGGAAGCGCGCAATTTGCCGGAGAGACCGCCATGGCGACGGTGACGACGCCGGACGTGAAACCCAACGTCATCAGCGACCTGACGATGAAGAATGAAACTGTTGGCAGCGGAATCGCGGTCGAATCACCGGCGCCGAACGCCGCCATCGTAGTTAACAAGAGCAATAATCCCACTATCAGCCTGATTGGGGCCCGGAACATCAACGAGATATCGGACAGTCAGCAGATTTGCAGCGTCATCGCCAGCAACCCGATGCTCCAGGGCACGACAAGGCTCTTCAACTCGGGAATACATAAACTGTCGACGCCCGCGACCTTGAAAGCGGATAACGTGGTCTGCATCGCGCCGGCAGCTGCTGCCGCGGTCTCTCATTCATCATCGGAGAAGAAATCGTCGCAGGACGGGCGGGAGATTCATGTCGAGAAACCGGTGTCCATACAATCAGGTGCCACCATCGCGCTCACCTTCACCTCGCAGACCGACGTGAACGCTATGCTGAACGACAGTAGTCAGCAACAGCAGAAAGACACGAAAGAGATGTCTACCGAGATAACATCCGGCACCAAGATCATTTCCCCGAAGAAGAGAAAATTCAACGACATTATTGGGATTCAGGAGAACATATCGCCGAGAACTTTGATTCCTGCAAACATTGCCACGTCATTGCAGAATAATACAAAAATTGGTAAGGATTCGCCCGCAATATTGTCTTGTATTTTTTTTAATATTATAATTCAAGAATTAAATTTATGGCTGGATATAAAAATAATTCTCAATTTATTTCATTTATATTTTATAAGACAATTAATTATTGAAAATTTTATATTAAATGGAATATTTTTTATGTTATATTAAAAAGTAAAACGGCGTACCATACTATATAATGTCATAATTCTTCATTGCTCAAACTAAAAAGAGAATTAAAATCTGAATTAAAATTTTATTTTCACAAAACTTTCTAAGATTGTAAAGATTATCTATATACGTTATATATTTTACTTATATTAAAATAATGTGTGTACATATATAAATGCATTAATTTTTTTCATAAACTATTCTTGTTATAGAGTCTTCTATTACTTCCACGAACAAGCAATCGAGCGTCATCGACAGCACGACGCAATTCTTGGTGACCGGTGGACCGAGCAGTTCGGACAGTCAAGAGTCGTCTATGCAACAGTCCACCGAAACAATCGACGGATCCTGCAAGGTCGGGAACGGACTGTTATACGAAAACGCACGCTTACAGGAAGCCTGGGAATCGGAAGGAAAGATTTCACCCGACACGCCATGGAGATACGTTCCTGCGTCAATGAATACACTGAGCAATGATTCCTTGAAAGCGTATTCTAGGTAATAATTTTAATCATATCCAAAAAAATGTATCGCAAAGAATTGATTTCAATATAAATATTTTTTATTTTATTTTGAATATATTATTTTTATATAATTTGTTATTTAATTAATTTTTATATAATTTCATTGTCTCTGTCAAACTTAAAAAATTCTAACAAATTTTGAAAAATTTGAAAGACACTCTCGACATATTCTTTTCTTTTAATATTTGCTTTATTAACAGTTAAGACTAATTTAAAGTAATATTCAAAATGATGTAAACTCTACAATGAATAGATTAATTGAAAATGTGTGAAAGAGAGAGAATCGAATGGATATTTTCGATTTCAGGGACAACGACAACTCGGAGAGTGTGCTGCAGATCATCAACAAGGGCCAAGGCATCGAGATGGCGAGCGGGCAGATCTACCCATCGAACACGAAGAAGTACTTCATGAATCATACCCTAGACATTCCGTATTCCAATAAGAGCAACCTGATGAAGTCGCAACTGATTCCTAGATTGGACCGCGAGTTGATGCAACAGAGGATAGAGAGGAAAGCCGCGGCGTACGAGCGCGAACTTAAATTGCAGAAGAGCTTGTCGGAAGAGTGCGAGGACCTGGGTGTCGACGAACCCAGTACGAGCGATCTATTTCCCGAGGCGGATTTGCTATTTGACACGAATCACTCACCGTCGTACGATCATTCCTCGCAGGACGCATCCTGCAGCCAGTCTTTGGGCATGAAGCCATACAATAGTTCGTACTTCCGGTCGCTGGACTCGTCGAGCGGCAGCAGGGACGCTAGTCCGACCAGCGATTTCAAATCGAACGAGTGTAAAAGGAGCACGAGTCAGCGCGCGAGAACTTTGAAGGATTCGTTGAAGAGGGGCAAACGAGAGAAGGAGGACCTACATCTGGGGGTCCCGACGAAACACATGCGACTAACCTTGGATAATCTAAGTCAGGATGAAGCGTCGAATAGCAACTCGGACGTCTCTAGGCTATCGCCGGCGAATCTCGGCTCGTTGGAGAACGATTCGTCGAAAGACATGAGCGGTCATCATCGCATCAAACTAATTTCAAGGAGTGGTTCCAAGGAAGGTACACCTAGTAGCGTATCCAGTATACCATCCAACATGAAACTGGACATTGATCTCGACTCGGAATCGCTGCCACCCAGCATCAACGTCAACAATACTTCAGCGGCGAGTTCGGGTGACGAGAGTCTAACTCTACTCAGCGGCAACACCGCGGATCACCACACTATACCTTCACCGTTATCACCTTTGGCCGCCGGACCGTTGCTGGCCACGCACAAATACACGTACGCCAACAAGAAGCGCATGCCGTCGTCTAAGATACGCATGGACTCTTACATGGCCTGGGAGAGTCCGATGTCCGAGCGCACGAGGTCGAGCAGCGACGACGAGGACTCGAGCATCAGCGAGTCGATCAGCAGCCAACCGGAGGACAACGTTGCGTTGAGCAATGGCTTGGAAGACAGTGTACAGACATTAAAATCCTTGTCGGTCGATCGTCATTGCTACGTGAAGAAGGACAAGCTGCAGGTGAACGCGAGGGTAGTGCTGAGTCGTACCGATCACAAAGCGACGACGGCGATGGCGGCGCTTCCTAAGCGACTCCCCAAAGCGGAATCGATTGCGATGACCGAGTCGATGGTGGTGTCGAGCGACAAAGCGTCGGAGGCGTCCGAGGACGAGGCCGGTAACATCGTGCTGATGGAGCCTGCGGATTGTCGTGCTAGAAGATCCAGTCTGCGCGGCCACGTGAAGAAGGGCTGTGCGTGTTGCAACGGCTCGCCGGAGCGGCCGAAGAAGAAGACGACGACAACGACGGTCAAGTCAACGGATCACAAATTGAAGAAGCGCTTGTCGTCGAAGCAGCCCGGTAAGAGAAGGTAGTCCTAGCGATCGAACGCTCGTACGAGCACCGCGACGTGTTATTATATCACTAATGTATCGTCATTGATGGTTTTTTGAAACGACGCGAGCGAAATTGTGCCCGATGACGGGATGATGATGTAGCTTTTCTCCTCGCAAGAAGGAGAGTTCACGATTCGGACAGTAAATCTGATTTTAATTCGAATGATATCGATGATGGAGCAAGAAGTTATTGTAAATATTACTAGAGACGCGCTTAGACGCGCGAAATTCCGTGATTTACCACATTTGCAACATTTGGAACATTTGGCGGCTACATGCAGGTGTTTAGCTGAGAGAAATATTCTCCAAGAGTTTAAATTAATAATGAATTTACGTTTGAGTGCTAGCGCGCGTGTATGTGCATATATGAATACATGTGTAAATGTATGTACGCAAGAGAGAGAAAGGATATAAAATAATAAACATATGATTTATATTAATTAGAAGTTCTCGTCGATATAACAGTAGATGATCCTTCTACCATTAGGTGTTAACGATATTAGACTTGTAAGGTACAGATCATTTATGTATGGCAGACTTAGATTTTAAATCGTTAAGAACCGTTTAGCGATGCAATCTAGTCAAGTTTTATGACGAGAACGTGGGCGACGAGTGTAAAACAAATTATAATGAATGAGAAGATAAGAGATTCCGTAATGCGCGATCGTTAATAGATCCCTCGCAGAGTAAAGAGAGAGAGAGCTTGAATTTATATAATTCAATCTACAGTATGTCTGTAATGACAGAGCTCTTATTCCACGTTGTAACATGGTGTGGTCAGACTGAATAGACAAATAATAATGAAGTTCTCTTTCCGAAAAAAAATAAAAGATTAGGACATAGTAACAAAGATGTGCAGTCTCCCTTTGGAATGCATCATCTTTGAACTTCGTGTAATGCTTACTTGTATTAATCTGTATAACTCTAACTTTATATATAGAAATGAAACTGTCGTTGTGTAAATTCTCGGCGCTCTGCTCTTGCAAAGCAATCCTTGAAAAAGAAACAGGATTGTTTAAATGATAAAAAAATAAATATATATACATATGTATATACATATATATATATATATATATATATATATATATATATATATATATATTCATGATTTAAGTGCAACATGAGGCATATGAAAAAAGTTAAAAAAAATGGAATGGCAATAACACGTTTTATGGATCATTCTAATAGCTATCTGTTATACGGCCCGACCATACCTTGTCATGTGTGTGGTACATGTAAACATCCAAGCGACTGTACACAACACACAACAACATTGCATAGATAATTCATTGAAAAGGTATAATATTATATATATATGTATATATATTTACATACATATACATATATACATGTATATATATTTACATACATATACATATATACATATATATATATATGCATATACATATATATATACATATATATATATTTCGCTGCACTTTAGTACAAAAATGCTTCACTTTGTTTCGGATGAAGATGATTTATATCGTATTATTATCGTACGCTATATCGTGAGATTGCTCGTGTGAATGGCCGCAAATTTTGCTATATGGACTTACTCTAAACTTATAACTTATAAAAGCTTGTGAAAAAGGCTGCGTGGGAACATGAGTTGATCCAACGTTTCGTTTTAATAATTACAATAATTAACAAGGAGCGTTATTGGGCGCTGATATCCATTCCAAACTTTTATCCGACGCACTACATATATATGTTTTATATCTATAATATACATATATATATATAAACATATATATATAGAGAGAAAAGTCGTCGCAATTTGTTCTGTCTCTCTTTTTCTGTTCTCTTTCAATGTTGTAAGAAAAAAACTGTAGCTTCAAGTAATCGAGGTATAACTGTTCCTGCGAATAGTATCTCATTACGTGATATGAACCAAAGTAGAGGCTCTGTCGAGAAGAGGATGAGGGAAATGCGAATAATAAATCGATATGGTAAATGAACAGCATTGCACACGTGTAGAATATGTAAATTGTAATTGAACTCATCTCTCTATGTATTTGTTTTTTTTTTCCTTCTGTTTAATGATAATTTAACTATTTTTTTTAGTAATTGTAAATATATATTGTTTAGAAGTGAGGAGATCACAAAAATTGTACACTTATCTATTACATGTATCTATTACACACACACACACATATATATATATATATATATATATATATATATATATATATATATATATAAAATACAGACAATACACACAATCGATCACTTTAGAGAAAAAGAGAAAGAAAAGACGAAAGAAAGCTTTCTAATTTTTCTTTTACGAAATTCCGTGATTATGAAAGATTTTAATTTTATTAAGAATTTTAATTATTTATAGTGGTCGTATTTTTTATAGTAAAATAATACTAATACAGAATGTCGCAATTTTTTTGTTAATTTGACTTTAATTATATCATTTTGTGTGTGTGTGTATACATATACACACTCTGTATATAATATAAGTGAACAGTGATCGATATAAAATGTTCTATTTGTATTCTATTTTTTTCTTAATTTATACATTCTACACGTATGCTAACACTGCGAATAAAATAACTAATATTTTTTTTTGTGATTATATAATATATAATCGCTTCGCTACAAATATGAACATAATTATCGCAGATTACGTTCCTTACGATTCCTCGTTCAGTTAGTAGTTAAACGACGAACAAGCTATCTACCTCCTGCACTTAATCGCTTTTTAGTTTATTTTATATTCTCTCGTGAGAGCGTTGAAGTTTGAATGTCTATACGTAAAAAAAAAAAAATAGCTCATTATGGTTTTTGCCGACAATTTAATTTTGCGGCATAAAAACACAAACTGTGTGAAAAGAAACACATCGGCTAATTTTTATGTTCTTACATTTGCAAATTATTTAAACGTTTTACAAGACGTTTTAAATACAATTCAAAGCGTTAAAAGTGTAGATCTCGGAAAGAAAAATTCTCTGTAATTAAATATGTGTAAATAAATATGTTGAGTAGTATTTATGTTAAATTGCTGCACTAGCTACAATAATAATTAAAATGGTACAAGTTTGTTGAAGTATTTACTCTATTGCATTAATTAAATCTTATTGTATCTAGATTATTTTCCAGTATTTTATTTATATTCTGTTATGAGAGATCAATATGCATTCAATTTTCTTCCTTTACTTCTCACGACATGAAGAAAAGCATTTTCTGTTGCGTTAAGCGAGACAGATCTCGATCATATAATGTACTTCTATCCGAAATTAAACTCTTGTATAATTGAGCTGGTCTACAGATAAGAAAAACGTCTAATAATTAACAATTTAATTTTTAATATTAAAGGAAAAAATTAATTTACAAACATTATTTGAATTCAATTAATTTCTAGAGGAAAGACGTTCTTTTTTCTTCCATAGATCGTCTCAATTCACATTTGCATCTCACTTTAATCTAGCATTTTCTTCCACGACCTCCTTAATATACATTTCTTCGCCAGGTCGTGAAAAGCGTATCCTAAAATAAGAAAGAAAATCTGTTTCTACCGAAGCCGTTTGTATAAAGCGAGAAAAAGTTCAGTCTATTTATTCTCACGCTAAAAATAAGGAGGCGAATTATATATCTTCCTGTATATTAGAGAGGAGAGAGAAAAGAGAAAGAGAGAAAGAGAGAGAGAGAGAGAGAGAGAGAGAGAGAGAGAGAGAGAGAAATACAGAGAAATGTCAGAGCGACATGTCTCCGCATATGTATAAAATTCCGAGCGAATGTCTCACACCAAATAGAGATGCGTATTTTTTGAATGAGACTATCTCAAAAAAAATAAAAAAAGAAGAGATATAGCTTCTAGTTCGCGCACGCTAGACACGCGTGTGCGTACACTCGATTCGTCGGTGATAGTCTGGCCTTTCGCCACCCAATTTAGTCGTACCAATCGCATTTATCATAGAGGGATGTGTAGTCTTCATTGTTAAGGCAAATCTGAGAGGGAAGCGAGAGAGAGAACGAAGGAACACGCAGAATCGTTTGGGAAGTAAGGATCTTAGCCGTACAATTTCGGTGAGTTCGATGCTCGCTGAGGAAAAACTCAAGCCAAATTGTCACTTTTCATGAGGTCACCTAAATTTTACGGTTTCTCAGATCCTGTATTTGGGGATTAAGGCAAGGTTTTCCAAAGCTAAGCTTCTTCAGGTACTTAAACAGAGGGAGGAAGGGAGAGAGAGAAGAAAAAAAATGATAAAATAAAATAATCCGCTTTACACTGGCCGTTAAGCGATAACTTAAGAGTTTTTGTATCGTATGTTTATTAAGACTACTGTTTTTGTCACTCAACACCCTACCAGTATTCGAGAGAAAAAGAGCGAGTGAGTGAAAAAGAAAAGCAAGAGAGAGGGAGAGAATGTGCGAGTGTTGTACGTCACTTTAGTATCATTAAAACGAGCGACGTATGTAATAAAAAAAAATACAAGAGGGATAAATAATACTAATGCGAGCGAATTAAAGGGGTGGAGAAGAAAAGATATGCGAAAAACGGAGGAGAGAGAACTCGGAAGAGACAAAAGCGAACGGCCATACGTTGCAAAAAACGTACATTCATTTAAGCTACGTAATGTCGTTTAGCACAAATCAGTCGAAACAATTTGAGCGATCAGAGTAGAGTGAGGAGAACCGAGGGAGAGAAGTATATTAAAAAAAAGGAAACGTGACACGAAAAATATTAATAATTATGAATGACGAACGGACGGAGACCGGGTACAGTCATCTGCGAAGTGACGAAGAGAAGCGCTCCTGTGTACATACATAATATGCGAATAATAGAAGAGACGAGGATATAAACACATTTCGCGAGAAGGGAACATTTCTAGATACGGTACACCACCGCTATACATATGCACTGTAAGAAAAAAAATTGTATCAATTGTGTCTCGAGAGAGAGAAAGAGAGAGCGAAAGGGTGCCTCTTCACGATAGATTTCGCGAGAAGGGACTTTTCTCTGAATTTTTCAGTTGCGAAAATGAAAGGTTTTTATGTAAAGGGAATCATGCTTCCCGGTCTTCTCTCGATTAATTGATGATGTAATAATTACTTCACTTCCCAGATAGCAAGCATACGTCATTTTCACGTCGATGAAAATAACATTATTTTGACGTTTAATGACGTTGGTTTGCTACTTGGATTTTCGTTGAAGATATCTTTTTTTTCCGGGAGTCCTCATATACAAAAAAAGTTGTTAATACTATTTGTTATTTAAAAAGCAGTGATGTATATGTTGCAAATTATTCTTATTTCATACGTCGTAACATCGTATTTCTTCTTTCTTTGAAAAAAAATGTTTAAGTTATTTATAAATATATAGATATTATAATAAGTAATTCTTTTTTAGATTTGGCATTTGATACCTTTTAGATAAAATCCATTCGGCTAATATTTGCGTGTATATTAAGCAAGAAATCGATGCACAAATTGCAATTGTGACTGACGTGGAAAAGTTTTCCGTAATGAAGTAACGATGAAGCAGGCTGTCGTATTTTGGTCGCTAAAAAAAGAGAATGCTCTGTAAATAGGGCTTTATTTCGCTAAGCGACTTCGCAACTTTTTTCATCGTATTAATTTTTTTCGATTCTTGATTTATAATTAATGACTAAATGCAGTTTTCTATTTCTAACTTTATGTTTACATTAAATAGTTTTTATACGATAAACGAATAAAATGCAAAGTTACATAGCCAGATTTGAAGATAAATGCGCGATAAAAAATATGATTTATTTTCCGTCAAACTCTCTCAAATTAAATTATAGTGTGTTAAAAGATCGTTCTTTTGTTAAGCAAATTTTAAGCAATATCTATCCAGAATTTAGAATAGTTTATTCATTCTAATTATTTTTCTGTGTATCATATCAAAGTAGAATTTTGTTTAAAAATTTTTTCTAAAAACCTAGCAAAAATGTATTAAAATATAATATATATATATATATATATATAATATATATAACATATTTTGCTTTTATGTGTATTATATTAAGTAGTTATGTATAGTTATGTTATAATATTGAGAGAGATGTGTTTTTGCATTATTGCTACTGTTAAAAAATTTACAAAATTTGTATTACGAAAAATTAGACTTTAAGCATTTGTGCGTTTTTTTATCCTTAATACTTTACCTTTACGGAAATGTACAGAATAACAAAGTGCGATGCGAAAAGCTGCAGAATCGTTTTGCGATGAAAGAGTCGGGTTTTAGAAATGTGCCGTGATCCACTGGTGGAAGTTGTAAAATCGCACACAGCAGTAGTCGCCCTATCCTATGAATTTTATTTCTGTGGAGATTGTAAAGGACGAAAGAAAGAAAGAGAGAGAGAAAGAAAGATGAAAATACTCCGTGGATATGACTGTACAGCGTATTAACTTGTCCGGAGATACATATATCGAGGATCCTTTTTCAAAACTGAAGTATTAAGGATTGCATATTGTACATAAACAAGACATATTTTCTATATAAGGAACGTCGCTCGGTAAAAAGGCCGATGGCTCGAAAAAAATACTGCAATATTATGATAATTCTTTCAAGCGGTAGGATAGCCTTTAATCGTTTTATGTAATGTAATGATAGAAGAGGGTCTGGCAGAATAAAAGTGAAAGTTCTGTATTTAAATATTTTTGTCGGTGTATATTCATTCACATATACAAGTATACACAACAACGCATATACTCATGTCACATCATCAAGATGTGTGAGCGCCTCATCTGGAATATATTTAATTGTAACTATAGAACTCGAGGAGAAGCTTCGAATCGTAATTTCGTTATAAAACGAAACTTATCGGCCTCAAGTTAACTGATAAATTCAAGCAATTTAGAAGCAAGATTTCTTCTTTTATATCGTATCGCGGAATGAAGAGCAAAAGATATGTGCGACAGATACTTTGAAGATTTGATAATTTAATAAGAGTGAAGCAATTTAAACAAGTTCGATTATTCCCCTTAACACTCCAATTAATCGAATGATCTCAAAACTTAGGACTTAAACGGGCTAGAATTGTAATATATTGAAATTAATGAATAGAATCTCTAGTTATTGTGTATATATAATCGTTTATATACTTATTAGCTATATTAGATACTTAATTTCTCGGTTTTTTTTAAGATAAAATATATCGAGAATGTATTTATATATTTACATTGTTTCTTTTAAATTTTGCATTTCTTATATACATATGAATAAGCCAGTTATACAGCTGTAAGAAAATTACAGCTAATATTCATATATATAAGAAAAATATTTATTATTATATATACATCAGGTATTTTCCGAACTATTAGTATCTTGATGCTCTTTCCGTTGGTTTTCCACCTCCTACAGTAAAGAGAACCGAATATTGAATTGTCATAATTGAATTTTTAAAAAATCAAATCTAAAAATAATAGTAAAAGAGGTTGTAAAATTTCTTCAGCAAAAACTTACCCTCTGAATAAAGTTCAATAATGAGACGTTATCACTCGATTGGAAAAACTCGCTGATCTCTTGTGGAATGCAAAAGTGTGTAGGAGGCTTTGGTTGAATACCTATATCCTCTCCAATAAAACGAAACTCTGGTGTGTCACTAATATGATTTTGTAATTCCTCGTACGTAAAGAGCGTTCCTTTCGCAGATGATGCATTCATCGGACCGAAATCTATTATTTTTACATTGTCCTTTTTGCGTCGTACGACATCGAAAGAATCTATAAGAGACAAACTCTATGAATGATACAATTATATAATTATTAATTATTGAATCTCGTTATTAATTTTAGTGTTTACTTACAATTATATAATGGAAATCTGCCTTTGATGCGCTCCAAAAAGAAGCTCTTGATGTCTGTCTGTATATTATATTTTTCTGACTCATTGGAACTGTGGTACTGCGATATATCTCTCTGACTTATAGCTGCAATTAAAATGCAATTTGTTATCGCAATAGTTGACTTTGTAACAACAGGCAGAAACGCGGGAGCAGTTGATATCGAATAAAATTTAATAGTTGAAGAAAAAAATTTGAGTCAATAAATTACCAATGAGTTCATTGTCCACAACAAAGCAACGAAATTCCGTGCAAGGATTGATATCTCGCCACTGCTTCAATACTAAGCTGAATGACAAAGGATTCTCGCAATCTTTTAAAGATTTTACAGTATTCAAATCTTTGGCAATTCTGTCAGAACTCTTCAACAATAAATAGACTTCCTCCAAGGTCCTACATTTGAGAGTTTTTGTTGGCGCAACCCATGTTGCATCCTTCAAGATAATTATAAATAAATGTAAAAGAGTACTGCATTTATATTCATATTCATGCAGTTATAAAAATAATAATTATTGCAAATATATATTTTATTAAAAGGGTTATATAATAATAAAAAATTTATAAATATATTACTTGTGCCATTAATTAAATAATTTTAGAAAAAAATTTGATTTTTACTGTACATACAGCATTTTTCTTCTTTTTATATAAATACAAGTTCTCTTCATATTTTTAAAAATAAACATTCGAAAAAATTTTACATATTTTTCCAACAATAAGTCATTCAATTACAAAAGATAATAATATACAGTGAAAGAGTAACTTACTGCAGGTGAGCTCCAATTGGTTTTTATGAATATAGCGTCATATTCATTTAACACATCTTGTATTTTTTTACTGAATTCAGGAAATGCTGGTTGATGGTCCTGAATTTCCTATAATAAAATAAAGAGATAATTTTTTAGATAATTGTCTAATTATAATTCATTGCACGAATTTTTCAATATGAAAAGGATAATGAACCTCATCCTCACCGGTCACCGGGGAACCATCAGTCCATTCGGAATCTTCTGCTAAAGACTTCACCGCTTCAATAGGCAGCAAAAACGCGTCGTGCTCCAAATATTTCAAGACATCTTCAGGAACGTCGAGAATCGTCGCCTCCAAGGAATCTTTCTTGAACGTTGGGTACCAACAGGAAAAGGAGCACTCCGGTTTTAAGTCACTCACCATCTTCTCTTGAAAGTCAATAACAAAGAAAATAACAAATACTTTATTTAATTTCCTACTTTATTTAGAACGTTTTACAAAGAGTTCTCATTAAAAATGATGTGTTTTTACTTAATTTGAAAATTAAAATCAAAGAACAAGAGTGACGTGGGACGAAATTGTCAACAATTTATAAACCATGAATTAAAAAATAACTAGAAGCACGATCGTATTAGAAAAGAGACGTGTCATTTTGACAGTTCCGAGTCGTTCGATCGACCAATCGGAGCGAAGCTTTCTTTGCTCCGATTGGTCGATCGAACGACTCGTCAACGCTGAATGATTCATATATCCCGAAGACGTTCAGAAAGCATCCTGAGGATGTTCGAATGTCATCTGGATATCCTTGAGTATCCTCTGAGAATATCTTTCGGATATGTTGTACTATTAGGGAAAGGGGACAAAAATAGAGATCAATTAATTAAAGGATTAAATTAATAATAACAAATTAAATTAATAATTAATATTAAATTTAATTTATATTTATGATCGAAGGATCTCTAAACAAAAGTAGCGGGTCTGTCCAAATCGTGCCGCTGAAACGGGCATCTAACGTCAAAGCAGCTGGCACAAGAGGGAGACGACGGATTAACGATCTCTCTCTCTCTCTCTCTCTCTCCTCCCCCTCCCTCCTGTCACTGCCTGGCGTAAGTGGCGTATTGCACCGTTTCTGTCAAACTCGGAACAAAAAGGGGTGAAAGGCCCGTGAGTTGCGAGCCAGTGAAAGTTTGCGCGTAGGGTGGGGCTTCTTTTGCGGGAATTTCGTGGGTTATCGGCGACCGCGAGGATGATGAATTGATCGACCCCACCATCTCTCCGTCTCGTAGCAATTATAGTCGAGTTATATCTCCTCGTAGACGATTTATCGCCCGTGAATTCGATCGGCTTCGGGGAAGAAGACGGCCATGGAGGACGACCTGCCGACCGAATACGACGTGGTCGTCGTAGGAACAGGTATTGATTTTTATCAATACGCGAGAGAGAACCGTCCCGTATTTTTTGCTCACCAGTAATCACTCTCGCTATCATGATTCCCGACAGGTATGACCGAGTCCATCGTCGCCGCGGCGGCAAGCAGGATCGGCAAGAAGGTTCTGCACCTTGACAGGTACTCGTCCAACCGGCATTTATTGTTTTCCATCCTTTTCCGCGACGTTAATCGTCGAAGATCCCGCGTATACCTCCTGCATGTAATTGCAAATACGATTAATATATTTAGTCTCGTTAAAGATCGAGAAATGTCAAAATTGTGTGTAATAATTGTGCCACATTGATATCTTACTAATTGCGTATTAATTATAGCTGATACAAAAAAGAAATATATGTGCACATATATACAAAAATTATATATATATATATATATATTTTTTTTTTTTGAGAAAAAAGAAAAAATCTTTATCTTAATCTTGAATTTTTTTATTATTTTGCTGTTCAAGATAAAGAGATGTGTACACATTCCTTGGAATAATATGATAAGGCATTTATAAATTAAGATAACAAAATGTAATAATTATATGTCATATTCTTTAATTTAGCAATGAATATTATGGAGGTCTTTGGGCTACATTTAATTTTGATGGCTTACAAAAATGGATAGAAGATTTAAAAACAGCTAAGAATAACATTAGAAATACAAATGTTGATTTGAAAGCTGGTGAAAAATTTTTAAAGGCTAGTGATCAATATTCTATGGTCGAGAATATTGGAGAAACGTGGTATATTTTCAAGTAAGAAGTAATCATATATTAATTATTAATGATTTTTAAATATTTTATATATTCTAACTAGTTTTTTCCCATTTCTGTATAGTGATGCAGATTTACCTGATGTTTCCTCGAAAGATACCCAAACTGAGAGTTCTGGAGATAGTGCTGCAGCCGAAAGTGAAAAGACTGATCAAGATAAGGCTGACAAGAAGGAAAATGTGAAACAATGGAGCATAGACCGTATAAAAAAAGAATATAGAAGATTTAATATTGATCTGGCACCTAAAGTAAAATTATTATATCTGTAACAAAAGGAAATACATACATGTACAAATTTATTTTCAGTATAATTCATAATATGCGATTCTTATTACAGCTATTATTCGCCCGTGGTGAATTAGTAGAACTATTAATTTCTAGCAACATTGCACGTTATGCCGAATTTCGTGCAGTTTCTAGAGTTGCTACTTATATGGACGGTAAACTTACGCAAGTCCCTTGCTCTCGAGCTGATGTATTTGCGAATAAAACTGTCAGCGTGGTCGAGAAGAGAATGTTGATGCAACTTCTGACATCTTGTATGGAACAAGGTGCCGATAGTCCAGAGTTTGATGGTATGTAATGTGAAGATATTAAGTAGTTCTTGACTTAATTAATCATAATAATTCATTTCTGATTTAGTTTGAATCTAATTATCTCATTTACTGTTTAGGTTTCCGTGATAAAACATTCTTAGAGTATCTTAATACGAAAAATCTTACGCCTATAGTACAGCATTATGTTGTACAAGCTATCGCAATGGCGACAGACAAAACTTCATGTAGAGATGGTGTTGATCGTACAAAACATTTTCTCAACAGTCTTGGACGTTATGGAAATACACCCTTCTTATGGCCTATGTATGGAAGTGGGGAGCTGCCTCAATGCTTTTGCAGGTACATTTTGCAAGAATAATTGCTTTCCATTTACATAAAAACTCAGATAAATCTCACTTCTCTCTTTCTTTAAATTGGAGTTGAAAAAAGACAGATGTGAGATTTATCTGAGTTTGATGTAAATGGAAAGCAACTAATATGTCAAACCTTTTTTTAAATAATTGATTACAGTGTAAAAATAAACCTTTCTGCATTTTTTTCTAGACTATGTGCAGTCTTTGGCGGAGTTTATTGTTTAAAAAGACAATTAGATGGCGTGATAGTTAATGAGGATAAATGCAAAGCTATTATTACTGGAAAACAGCGATTAGCTTTGGAACATTTAGTTGTAGGGCAAGGACACTTGCCACCAGAAATTGTAGCCTCCGAGGGAGAAAATCAAATTTCACGCGGCATTTTTATTACCGATAGGTATTTCCTACACACAATTTTTTATGGAATTTAAATTATATATTATACCTATATGCACAATATATTTTATTAAACATTATTTAATTGCTGCAGGTCAATTATGCAAGGCGAAAAAGAAAGTCTAACTCTTTTGTACTATCCACCAGAAGAACAAGGACAAGAACCTGTTACTCTAATTGAATTGGGACCATCTACCAATGCTTGTCCTCAAGGATTGTGTATGCATAAAATTTAAAAAATGTGAATTTATTTCAGAATTTAATCTTGAATTTGTGTCTGTATCGTGCTTTTTCTTCCTTTTTTTAGTCATGGTTCATATGACATGTAAACGTACTAAGAATGCAAAGGAAGATCTAGCATATGTCGTGACTAAGTTCCTGAGAGCTGAACCACTTGATTTAGCTAATGCTGTACGTAATTTTTCTGATTCTCATATACCAAACGGTTTCTCCTGATAAACGACATCTTCAGGTAATAAAAGCTAATAATATAATAAAAAAATATTTATATAGATTTAAACTATAACATACATATTTAATCGGTTTCTTTTTAATTACATTAGGTTGATCAACGAGAAAAGGAAGAAAGTGAATATCCACTACCTCAAATATTATGGTCCTTGTATCTAAATTTACCTGCAAGCGATATTAAATTAAGCGACTCTGCACCGAGCAACATACACTTATGTTCTGGACCAGACCTTGAACTTGATTTCGATTTTGCTGTGAATCAGGTATATATTAATAATAAGATAGTAGATATTAAACTGACTACACTGGCTGTCTATTAGATTTGTTAAACTATATTTATTGACGTTTCGACCATACGGGCTGTGGTCCTTTTCAAATTACAATAGAAGCATTAATGAGTTACTGCATATCATTATTGACATTTAAAAGTACGCTCCGGTGAGACTTAACTTAAGATCGATGGTAAATTAACTGCGTTTCACTTGTGTCATCTTGTCACGACTGAGCACACTATACTGTATAGTGTGCTCAGTCGTGACAAGATGACACAGTGAAACGCAGTTAATTTACCATCCGATCTTAAGTTAAGTCTCACCGGAGCGTACTTTTAAATGTCAATAATGATATGCAGTAACTCATTAATGCTTCTATTGTAATTTTGAAAAGGACCACAGCCCGTTGGTCGAAACGTCAATAAATATAGTTTAACAAATCTAATAGACAGCCAGTGTAGTCAGTTTAATATCTACTACCTTAGTATTTCATTCCTGGCGAACGAAATTTAATATTTTATTGTTATTAATAATAAGACCTTATGCAATATATAATATAATAATTTCACATATATAATATAATAAATAACTTTATTTATATAAAAATACATCTAATAATTTAAATGTTTTCTTCCTGTAGGCATAATTATAGCATATATACTATATATTTATATAGTTTCGATAGTTTAATTAATATATATAATAAATTATATACTTTTATTATTTAAAATTATATTAAATATGTTTTTTAAATTTGTTTTCTACTTCCAGGCCAAGAGTATTTTTGAATCTATGTACCCAGATGAAGATTTCTTACCACGTGCACCTGATCCAGAGGAAATTGTTTGGAAGGTGATGAAACACCAGGTCCAAAATTCGAGGGTGGTGAACCTGCAGAGGGTGAAGAAAAACAAGACGTTGAAAAAGCTGAAAAAGAAGAATGAATAAATTATACAATGCTTTTGCGTCTCCAATATCGAAGAGAAAATAAGGCTTTTCCGCCTTTAGTGTCTTTTATCTTTATCGTTATTGCATTTCCGTATAAAAATATAAATTAAACATATTAAAAAAAAAAACGAAAAATTACAATCATGAGATACTATGCGAGACAGTAATAACGAAGAGAAATTTCACGATATCAATCTTATTTTGAGTTATTTATACACGTTACTTTTCGTCTATTTAAAATATTTTTATCGTCAAATTACGTGTTTCCGATTTATCTCACGTCAATATAGATATTTTCGAATTTACATTTTAAATATGAGCAGGTAGTATTATGCTTTTGCAAGGACACAGACTCGTTAGGAGAGCACAAATGCGTTTACCAAAATAAATATAAATTTATCACATAGTTATTAGGTTCATATCTTAATGTTTAATATCTTATAAGTTTTATATATATATATATATATATATATATATATATATATATTAATTTTTTGTACAATTGAACAATACGTAAAAAATTCAAATGCATTTTGAGATCCATTCTAAGTAGACATAGCGCTTGTAATCATTAGATTCAAGATATGCATACTCTATAGATCATATAACAATATTGGCAGCAATGATAAAAATACAAAAATATGGCGTCACGCTTTTATACTTCAATAGATATTAATAGTACACTGCAATTGATATATAATGTATTGTATGTGCACGCGAGTCATTTAGATAATCGTCATTATGTATTGGGGTTGATAGTTTGTATTATGTGCATTATACATAAATGGATATGTTATCTTCAATGCACTTGTCATTTGTTGATATATCTGTAATAAAAAGTGCGCAATCTACATTCGGTTGAAATGAATAATTGTTAATAATTTAGTGCACAATTTTTTTAATACATTATGTTGTAATAAATAATTTTTTCAATGATTTTATGAACGAAAAAAAAGAACAGCATCGATTATTTTATCGAATTTAATTGGTTTATAACGTGGTTGTACTCGTCCAACGTGTTTGTGACTTAAATAAGATGTAATTTAAAATGGTTTTTAGTACTTATTTTTCGACAATTATCTTAGTCTATTTATTTATATATCCTATAATTTAATTTTGTGAGGAAGTACTTAATGGTTTATTTATTTTAACTTTTCTGTAACACACACACACATATATATATATATATATATATATATATATATATAAAATGTAAAATTTTATAGTATAACTATATTTAATATGTCGCAGTTTATTTTTTTCTTTATTAAAAGTAAAAAAATCGTGGCTGTGAGAAAGAGCATTTTATTTATTTATTTTTTTAAATATTTAGACTGTTATTTTACAGATTTTAAGCATAAGTGTAGATCCAATTTTTTTCGAGATATATATTAGCCTCAAAGTTAACTGATTGATTCTGTTTTTTATTTTAATATTAAAGCTTTAATCGTGATCTCCCTAGTATTAAAATTAAATTTACAGAAACTGAAATTAATCACTTTGGATTTTAAAACTCCATATACATTTTTATAGATATAGTTCCTTCGTATTATATATTTTCATAGGGTTGTAAAAAATTGATTTATACTAAAAATCTTACAAATATATTTATTGTTACTCTTTCGTTTAATATTGTACATGTATAACATTTATACTATTTGATAATGTAGTAAATATTAATTATAAACATAAACACAAGTTTTTAAAGATATTGTGATATTTGTTATACATGCAAATAGTTTTTAACAAATTAATTTCTTTGCTTATAATATAATATACTAGCATTTGTTTACAATATTACATTACACATTATATTATATAGTACTTTTTTACAAAACTATATGTACTGCTTTTGTAAACATAGATGCTTTTATTTATGCACAAATTTTTTGTTATGAGTTAATTGTATATTCAACAACTTATATATATATATATATATATATATATATAATATATAATAGAAAATTATATGACTGAATGTACAGGGTGTTTTTATTAGCGGTGGGCAAAATTTCAGGAATGGATTCTTCATGCTTAGAGAAGAAAAAAGTTATAGGTCTGGAACTATGTTGATATATTTTTTTTTCTTCTTTAAGCACGAGAAATCCACTCCTGAAATTTTACCCACCATTTCTGAAACACTTTGTATTGTCGACTACACATACAATTGTAAAACTTATTTTTTGTCAATATATAGATTGCTCCTACATTTTTAATGTCAATTTATAATACATAATGCAAATTGCAGTCAGGATCTAAAAATGTAAGAGCACATATATAGAATTATTATACATGTATAAAGATAAAATTTCATTTAATTTAGTATGAATATTTTCTTTGTCTTTTTATTACAAATAAACTATCATGATTTAAAATAATGTATTTAATAACTATGCATTATATATATACACATACATATAAAGTATAGTTTATATATACAATATATATATATATATATTTATAATATATATATATATATATAAGTAAAAATAAGTATATATTTATAAGATATTAAAAAAAAAGATTTGAGACTTAGTAATAGATAGATATTCATCAAATTTCACATATACATATATAAGAATAATTTTTAATCATATGTTAATATTTCAGAAAGTGACCTGTAGAGTTCAAAACAAGAAAATGTCATAAAAACATACATCTTTCAAGTCTTATTTTTTTAGTTATACATTAAAGAAAATATTTGAATATATATATATATATATATATATATATATATATAACTAATTATATAATAATATAATATATGTAATAATAATTTTAATATTATATTATGTAATATATATATTATTTATAATTATAATATATGTATAATAATACTAATTATATTATATAATTATATAAGTTACATATATTATATATTATATTATAGTTACATATATTTGTTACAATATATCAATTTTAAATTATATATTCAATTATTTTCTATACAAAATCTGACATTCATAATAAAAAAAAAACTACACAAATTCCGACTCGATAGATTAATAACAACAGATTGTCAAGTTTCAAAATTTATTCAGTTTTGATCTGCAATCCAGAATACTTTGCTTCTGCCATAGTAACAATTTTACAGATCTGCATTTTAATGTCTGCTTGTACTTCTCTAGGCAAATTCAACACAGTCTGCGCCATACTCGCAAAGAATAATTCGACACTACTTTTATGGGATATAGATGTTGTCTTATTAGATATAGTGTTATGCAAACTTTTACTGTTAGTCATGGTGTTCAAATTTGCATTTACATTTTTGTTAGTTGTTTTGCATTCTTTAGTTGCTGGTGTAATATTTCCAGTATCACCATTGTTTGTGCTATGATTTGTTTTGCTATCCACAGTTGTAAGACTTCGAGTTTTATCCTTACTTGGCACAGATGCATTTGGTGTTAAAGTAGATGTATTCAACGTAGGTGACATTCCAAATGATTTAGATTTTAATGGTGAGGCAGCAGTTGGTAAAGGTTTTGGTCGTATTGGGCGGAAACGATCCTTCCACAATCCTAATCTTACATCTGTTGTGCAGTAACTGAACTTTGCTGGAGATGGCAACTTGATGAATTCTAATTTCTTGCTATGTCTAACTCTACGTTTCGGCAAAACAGTAGTAGTATTATATTCTTCTATCGGAGGAATCAGATTGACTGCTAGAGGTTCAGTTTCAAAATTTTCACAATTCATCATCTCGACTTTGACAATATTCTGGTCAATTTCTTCCAATGCTTCATTGCAAATTACTTTGCTATTGTCTTCCATCTTTTGATTATTGCACATTAAACTTGAAAAGATCTGGTTTCTTCCTATTTTTGAGGCTACAAAAAAATATATTAAAAAATATAATTTTAAATCAATATAAAAGCTATATTATTTAAAAAAAAAACTTACATAATGTATTAACCTTTACACATTCATATATTATATTTTGCATAATTTGTAGTGCATTAAGATTTTAATTAACAATAACAGTATTTAATTAATGATGCTAAAATCTTTTTGTCATCATTTAATTAAAACCCATCTTTCCAAATAATTACTTTTTAAAAAATAATACTTCTATATTTTATTTTTATACAAGTATAAGAAAGAACTGCCTTTAATCCTTTTATGTAGAACGTACTTAAAAGAAATTTTCATTTCTATCTTTTTCACAACTGTTCAAAAGACAAAACTTTTTAAGAATTTTATTATTTATTCACACAGTGCTAGTACTATGAAATCAGACTTACCAACTTGAAAGAGGATATTATAACATATAGAAAGAAGCCAGCAGAGAGGCTGATTGTGAGTCACTTATTCCCCTCATTCTTGACTACGATTGGTAAATTTCTTAAGGCCCTTGCACAATGCCAGGCAACAGACAATAGGAATAAGAAATAGAAAATATCAACCAATCGGAAAAGGAGATAGATATTATTCTCTATTCCTGTTGGTGGGTATTTTCATTATTTTCTATTTCTTCCTATTGCCTGGCATTGTGCAAAGGCCTTTATTTATTGTTAGTTCGGCTAGCCTCGTGAATCCTGCCCGGTAGAGGGCAGGATTCTACTTGCCTGCGTTGATGGATGCGCACTGACAATGAGTGTATATATATTATAGGTTAAGGCAAAGTTGTGGTAAAAGAAAAATTAGAAGTACCTTTAATTGTTGAACTTCGCGCAATTATCTCTTCTATCTTGATTGAAGCAAAAAGGTACATTTTCTATATAATAATTTGTAGCTAGTTTTGACTAAGCTCTGAGGATTATCCTTGTTCCTCTAGCGTGCCTGTAGTCTTCATTGGGCTTCCTATCGCGACTCTTAATTTTATTTAATTTATTAAATGATGCATTTTGTTAATATTTTTCAAAAATATAGATAGAATTATTATTTGTTTGTTTCTTGATAGAAAAGTGATCAAAAAGAGAGATTAGATACAACTGTCATAAGTAGATAGAAATTTTGATGTAAATAATTTATATTATTTGACAGCTGGAAAGAAAGATGCAAGTAGTTCGAAGTTTTGATGTAAATAATTTTAGCAATTGAATTAATTGTCTGTTAAAATGTGGGATGCAGTTTGTGAAATTAATAATAGCATGCGTCATATTACATATACACTTTTTTCTGACATTTAAAAATCTGTCATTCTCTATATTAAAGATTGTATTGTCGTATCCATGTATTATTATCCATATTTTTTATGTGAAATTTCTTTTCATAATTTATTTTTGTGAAATTTATAGTTTTAACAATGACAACACCTATGTGTGAGGATGGTGGACCATTAAGGGAATGGGCACCACTTGCTGTCCTCTTGCAACAAATACCTGCCAAAATACAAAATGGTATTTTTACACAAGATATTAATTTTACCTGTATTGCTGCCCTCACCGAATTTATCGCCATTGGAACTAATCATGGACTTGTCTACTGGTATAATAGAGAAAAGCAGGATTTGCAAAGACTACGTTGCGAGGTACTTGAGAATTTTTGCTTACTTAAGAAAATTGAACTTTAATTAGTTTGATAAAAATATTTTTCTCTTATTATAACAGAATGTAAATTCCAAAATCACATGCATACAAGTGATATCTACAGTTGATTATATGGTTGCTGCTGGCAATGAACATGGTGTTGTCACAGTTTTTCAAATTCCCAAGAATGCACCTGATTCATTGCCAGAAAGTTTAAAACCAAAACAGAAAAAACAGGTAAATTATAACAAAAATTTTTATTATATAAATATATTTTTATTATTATAATAACAGCAATAAACTCTGTTATTATTTATAAGGTGGAAAGATATAGCATAAGTGGTTTACACAATACTGCAGTGACAGCAGTAGAGTGGTCTAAGAATGGTATGAAATTATTCAGTGGAGATAAAGATGGTTTAGTTGTCTTAACAGAAATTGATTTTTATATGGTATGTAAATATTAAATAATCTACTTTGAATGTATTTTCTCACCTTTCTATAAATATGTGGATATCTCAACATTTTTTCTTTTTTGTAGCATTTATCGAAATCATCAAAGTTATTAAATGAGAAATATTCTGTGGTACAATTAAGCTATCAACAAGGTTTGCTACTAGTTTCAACTATATTACGCACAATTTTGGTGAATAGAAATGAAAACGGGAAGGTAACGCAAGTTGGCCAGAAAGAACGTAAAACGTTAGTGTAAATTCGATATTGTTATAATATAAATATTGAGGAAATGTGAAATAACGTTTCGATGACTCTTAGACTAGGTAAACTGGGCGCAGTATTTGGTTCTCGACAAAATTATGTACAAGAATCAGTAATTTATGCAAGTAGACCAGGATTGCGTTTATGGCAAGCTGATAAGATGGGGACTGTATTAAAGACACTTATATTTAAGGTATTGAGAGCTAATATGTACATGTATTTATTAATACAATTATATTAATTTCTCTTTATAACTTATATTATAAAATATTTTAAAAAGGATGCAGTTAGATCAGGTCATACAGAAGTGGAATTATTAAATCCTGCACCTGAAGGCTCGAGAAAAAATCGCGGTGAACCTTCCTTCGGCATTGTATTGCCATTTTGTGATGATTTATTAGTAACATATTGTGATGATGTAGTCTATGTAGTAAATCCAAATACCATTGCAATAACATCGATTGTAAATGACTTACGGCGTGTTACCGATGTGGCTTGCACGAAGGACGAAATATTTATATTGGAAGGAGAAAGAAATATTTTGCGTATTGCCTATTATCCTGAAAATAATATTACATCTGGTATGTATATAAATAATTATCGTCTCTAAGATATAATTAAATGAAAAGTTAATAATGTGCATTTTATTACACAGAAGAAATGAGCAACACACTGGATCCTTTATTGTCATTTGCTGAATATAGTAAACCTGTTGCTAGTAGTATATTAGGATTAACTTCAAAATTAAAAGAAAGTAATATAGTACCGACTATTGTCTTTCCCAAAATCAATCCAACCAACATTATTCAATCTGTAGGGTAAGTAGTAAAAGAATATAATTTCTAATATTGCATCACACTTGCTAGAATTATTTTTAAAGTGAATAAATTAAAAAAGTTATTCACATTTCAGAATTTTACCAACTGTTACTGTTGGTACCGATGCCAATGTAATTGCAAATGCGGAAGAAGCTGTGGAAATACCTCCAATAGTTCCAATAGATTTAAATACTACGCTCATAACTGATATTAACAAAATACCAGAGCACAGCGATACCAGTAAAAAACAAAATACAGAAGATAAGAACAGTGATCGTCGAGAGATATTCCAAAAAATTGGCCAACAGGCATTCGAGGACGTTGTTTTCACGCCTGAAAGAAAACAGAAAAACTCTCGGAGTAAAGTAATTAACGGCAGCGAGAGTGTCACATCGCCACATGACACTAATCATTTGTCGAGTAGCTTAACTATTGATCATGTAAATACTAACAAGACAACGACAACTTATTCCTCTTTAATGCAACTGAGTCTTGAGGATGATTTTATATTGAAATCCGATCGAGATTTAGAAACAATTCAACGAGACGTAGAAGATAAGGAGAAATTGTTAGCAGATGTTCTTGATTTTGACTTGTCCAAGTATATGACGAGTAGTCGAATAAACAAAGATGATTCAAGTATATCTAATCATATCGATACCATAACATGTATCGATTGTAATGTACACTCCAACACTGAAGCAATGAACGAAGAACAGGATGCGAACCAGGAAAATGAGAATATTGAAGTGAGTGATCATACAGGAACAGAGTCGGGGGAGGAAGATGTCAGCTATCACACCGAACTAAAACGACTGGAAGATCTCGGAGAATGTAGAAAGACTCTTTTACAAAATAAGCTGGACGATATTCCACATATTAATTTTGATCTTCGACAAGTACCGTCGATGCGGGACGAACTAGAACATCAATTTAATGGTAAATTATTATTAGAATATTGAAGAATATATCATTGACTAGATTATTATAAAATATTCTTGCTTTTTGTAGCTTTGGCAAAGGAATGTGCCACATCCGTTATTCTCGAGGAAGAAGATTGGGTTTTAGTCAAAGATGATATACCTTCAATCACAATGTTTTAAACAAGAGTTGCTTCACATCTTATATAAACATAAGTATATACATCATTGTTAAAAAGTAATAAATAATTATGTGATGCATGATAGCAGCAATTAGGAATTTTCATATATACATTTTTTTATATGTCTTATTAGTAAAAAGATAGAACTTTTTTGAACTATTATCATTGACGAATTGTAAATTATTATATTGCACAAAAATATTATGTTTGAAGTAATTCATAATTTTAGATATTATAAATATTTGGCATATAAAATAATGTATTAAAAAATAATGCATCTAATCTTGGAAGATACACAATTTGAAATTATTTTCACTAGTAGGCAAAATTATATTTTTTATATACAAAAGAATTATCGATATTGAAAAATAATATTAATCATTGCCTTAATATTTTAATATAACAATTAATGTTATTAAAACTTTTACGATTTTTTAATAGTCATATATATAGTATATTTAATAGTTAATAAATATTATTTGCTAAGTTTTGCAAAATTAAAATCATGTTAATATATATATATATATATATAATTGTAAATTTTTCCTCTAAATTGTGTTGCAATATTCAATATACATATTTTTGCATAATTAAAGTATCTATAATATTCTAATTACAATATGTATTTTATCAAACATTCCAAAATGGGCTATTCTATATTTAATATTTTGGAAATTAATACAAGTAAAATATTTAAATTGTATAAATTTGTGTACAACACTTATTGGCGCTTTTGTATTATAAATTTCTAAGTTTTTGTATAAATAATGATCTTAAAAATATTAGACTTGACAATATTTTTTAACATTATCTATTTATTACTTTGATTATATTATTCGTTTATATCTAATTTTGTAATATATATTTATTTGTGACTGAAAAATCAAAGGAGCAGTAATAATATGTAAATATGAGATTAATGTGGCTTTAAAATAAATCATTTTACTACACTCAATTAGTATGTTGTAATATATGAAAAATAGATATTAATTGTGTTAATGAATATCAAAACACTTGCATGCAATTGTATTAAGTGATTATCAACTTTATCAATTGAAATAAAAATTATAATTTAAAATTGTATTATGTACATTTTTATATTTTCCTGTCATGCAGAAAATACAAACAAATCACTGGATTTCATGTATATCATTTTATTTACTAGTTAATCTTTTACACATTTAAATATATTTCTGTGTAAATAAAGAATAATTTATTTCATTATTTTACATAACTGATCTTGATTATGCTGTGGCTTGAATGAGATCAGTGTATTTTTTAATTTTACTAGCAACACTCATATCAACATATTTGTCACCTATTGAGACCACCATGCCGCCAATAATTGAAGGATCTACTTTAGCAGTGAGTAAGATAGTTTGACCTTTCTTTAAGAAACCTTTTAGAGCTGATTCCAATTTACTCTTTGTATCTGCATCAAGTGGTTTTGCAGTAACAACTTCGCATACCACCTCTCCTCTGTTAGCAGCCATAATTAGTTTATACAAATTAATGATTTGATTGACTTTTGTCAGTCGGCCATTCTCCGCAAGTATTGTCAACAGATTTGCAGTAGCTGGATTTAAGTTAACTTTGCTTCCAATAGCTTTAAAAGCTTCTGCCTTATCTTTTCGTTTTATTGAAGGATCCTTCACAAAGTCTCTTAATTTTATGTCTGTTTTCAAGAGACCCTAATTTAGACAATCATAAATTAACATTTCAAAATAAAATACAATAATCATAATATATTTACTACTTATATAATTATACCTGAAAAGTCACCAAATCCTTTTCTACTGCATCTAAAGCTTTTTGTTTAGATGCAGCTGAGTAAAGAGCTGTTGCATATCTGCCTTCTAAACCAAAAACTTGAATTGGAGGCTACAAAAAAATTATGATTATACATATAAATATATAAATATCTGTTTACAGAACTTATAAGTATTATAAAATATTACAAAATAAATACAAATCAGTTGAAAACTGTGAATCAGTTCTTGCAGAAAGTTTATTAGAGCTTATAAAGCTTTATGAGCTTATCAGCTGGAAGTATTATATGCAAAGGTATATCATTCAAAAAGGCTAATTAAAAAAAACTAAATACCTTCACCAGCTGTTGTGTGACAGACGACGCAGAAAAAGTTCGGATCTGAAATAAAAATTATTCACATTATTGACAAATAGTGTCAAAATAAGTAGCGATATATCAATATAAGACAATAAATCTTAACAATGTATTGTACAGGCAGAAAATTGATTTTTTTATAATACCACGGTACAGTTCTATTATATTTTAATATCCAAATGCATATTTACTTACAATTATTTTACTAATAGACATTTTTACGAATTTCACAGCAGCTCGCAGAAATTGAGAAGCAAGATATATAGTTCCTGTCACACACACACTATTATATAATAAATGCTTCCATTTACACGATTACTAATGTTGGATTTACATTGCATCCGATATCCAATAGCAGAGCTTGTTTTCTAGTGATTTAGGAACGAAAGTTTTCTATTGGATATCTTCGAATCGACATGTGAATCCTGCATAAGGATGTGATTTTCTATCTATACTCCTACAATCGACTAAAAAAAATAAATAAATACAGATCTAACATGAGATTATCACGATTATTACAAACTTTCGAAAAATATGTTAATATATTTTCAACAATGGATATACATATGAACCAACGATATGGAAATTTTATTTTATTTAAGAGATTATGTTCAACGAATTATTTAAGTGAAAAAAAATCGAATCTGTATCGACAATTATATGCAAAAATATTAGCATGTGGTCCTATAACGCTAGCAGAATATATGAAAGAAATTTTAACTCATCCCACTGCGGGTTATTATACAACTAAAGATGTAATCGGACAGAAAGGTGATTTTACAACTTCTCCAGAAATCAGTCAACTTTTTGGAGAAGTATGTAATTTTTAATTTATATATAATTATTTTTAATTTTATTTTTCTAATGCATATGTATATTCTATTTATTATTTTATTAGTTACAATTTTATAGTTTTATTAGTGATTATATAAAGAAATTACAGACTTTATATTTGTGACTAAAAGTTCAAAGTAATTTTTTTTATATATTAGAAAAAATATTATATAGAAATGAAGGGATTATTTATATTAATTATTATTATTGATAGATTATAGCAATCTGGATAATCAATGAGTGCAGAAAGATTAGCAAAGGACCTATCCAACTTGTAGAACTGGGCCCAGGAAGAGGTACTTTGATCAGTGATATATTACGGGTATATTTGCAGTATTGTTATTTGCAAATTAAATGTATAAGTGAGAAAATTATATATGACTGTTTGTTTCTCAGGTATTCAAAAAATTAAATGTTTCAAATAAGGTATCAGTTCATTTAGTAGAAGTTAGTCCTGTTTTATCTATGATTCAAGCAAAGAAATTGTGTATTAAAAGCACAGATAGTGAACTAAGAATCAATGAAAATCAGAAAAATTCTATTACACATTATAGAGAAGGTGTTACAAAAGATGGAATAAAGATATATTGGTATTATACTATCAATGATGTTCCTAGAGAGTTTAGTGTATTTATTGCACAGGAATTTTTTGATGCTCTACCAATACACAAGTTCCAGGTATTCAAATCAGAATATTAATATATTAATATGTAAAATATATACATAAAGGATAATTCTAATAAAACTGCATTTAATTTTAGAAGACTGACAAAGGTTGGAGAGAAATCTTAGTGGATATAATACAGGAAACTAAACAAGAAAAATTTCGATACGTACTTTCGCAAGCGCCAACAGCTGCTTGTAAAGTATATATATCTGTAAGTATTTATTTATATTACAACATTTAAGAGGTCTATGAATGATAGATTAACATAAAGCATCTTCCAGCCAAATGAGAAAAGGGAACATGTGGAAGTAAGTCCACAGTGTTCTGTAATAATAGATTATATATCCAAATTTTTATGGGAATGTGGAGGCTTTGCTTTAGTGATTGATTATGGTCATGAAGGAGAAAAAACTGACACATTTCGTGCATTCCATCAACACAAGTTATATGATCCCTTGTTAAATCCTGGAACTGCAGATCTAACTGCTGATGTTGATTTTTTATCAATGAAAGAGATTGCAGAGAAAGATAATAGATTAATAACATTTGGTCCAGTAACGCAAAAAAAATTTCTAAAAAGCCTTGGTATTGATTTACGATTAAAAATAATTTTACAAAATGCTACTGACATTCAGAAGCAACAAATTGAATCAGGCTATCACATGATAACTGATGAAAATAAAATGGGAAATTGTTTTAAAGTATTATCTTTTTTTCCTTTTGTCTTGAAAAATCATTTGAAAAAATGGCCAGTAGCAGGATTTGAGAAAGATTAAATACAATCCTGAATTGTTTTTACATATGAGAATTTTATGATATTTACATTTTTCCATTTGATTATAAATTATATACATACATATACAGGATGCATGTACATATTGAGCTATAAATAACATTGTTGAGAAGTAAATTTATATAAATAAGATTTGTATATATGTATACATATTGTGTTGTAAAACTTCTATTACATATTTTTAAGAAAATAAAATAATTATGTTATATATCTACATTTAATAAAAATCAAAAAAATTTCAAACTCTTCACGTATAATTATTAAATATCTTCTTGTGGAGAATTATATTTTTTCCATATTTCCGTAAACTTTAACATTTTTGCTCTTTGTTCTTCAAAATTCTGTCTTTTTGGTTTTCGCCATAAATTACAATCCAAATCCAGCATACCGCCTATTATTTCCTAGAATAAATTGAAAATAAAATGTATTTACAATCAGTTCACATTTGCATAAAAAAATTATAAAACTTTAGAAAGAAATTTTAATTTTCTTATCTTACTTCGGCAAAATTCTTCGGAAACATTTCTTCATCCTCAATTACATGAGCATAACCGGGGTGTGAGGCAAATTCTACCATAAAATATGATAAACCATTCGGTACAGCATGTCGTATATCTTTATTTTTTAGGTCAACAATTTTCTTGTTAATAGACCATTCAGTTTCGCATTCCAATAAAGCTTTCTGTTAAAAAATGTTATATTATATACAATTTATTTTAATTATTCTAATGAGTATTTTTTTGGATTATAATGCAATGATATATTTACCTTAAAGTACATTGGTGCTGATTCACCGATTTCTTTTGGTAGCGGAATACACTCTAATTGCATATGTGAAAATTTACGTTTTTTATATATTTCAAAAAATATAGGATAAAGATTTTCTTTCATAAACATTTTTATCAATTTTTCTTTAAGTTCCTGTAAAAAATGTGTATCATTATTTTGATGTATAACAGCAGATATTATAGAATTATAATAATTCGTTATAATTTTATAAAATAAATAAAATATAAATATAATAATAAAAAGAATATAATGAAAAATGACCTTGAGCTTATACCATACATCTTCATCTAATTGCAACTGACACGCAACATGTTGTACAGGTGTCAATATACATTGACCAGTAGTCAAGGAAGTATAAGCAGGTAGACTTAAGCAAATCATAGAATCCATTGTAACTATCATGTGCTTTAACATCTTTTTCGAATCCAAACACCACGAGCAATTTTCTATCGAGTTAGATAAGTGCTTGTGTTCCTTAATTGCGTGCGAACGATCTCGTTTATCTTGCTTCGCTTCCGAATCTTTTCGTGTGATTTGTTGTTCGAACATATCATCTGCATGATCTGTCTTCTGCAAAAGGATATTACAGAATTACATTTTATTTTGAGTTTTTAACATTCATAATTTTGAATTTGTTCAGTTACCTTAGCAAAAAGCTTAGTAAACACCGCTTCATCTTCGTTTGTAGATCTTCCTTTCTCTCGTTGAAACTGCAATAAAAATGTATATCATTTTAGAACCTTCTAATTAGTAGTAATCAGTATTAATCATTTTTAATTATTCACCATTTCTTGTAAGGAATATTTATCATCATCGGCGAAATAGCGTACTCTCTCGCCAGAGACATGTGTCTCCGCAGGTTTCTTCTTTCTATTTCGACTTTCTGCAAACTGCTTAGATTGACTTCTGGGTTGAATTGGTCTTGCAACACCTAGCACAAAGTTGCAGATTACTTTACAATCACAAATAAATAATCACAAAATAAAAATATGTACCTTTTGCATCAGTTTTTGTAAGAATTACAGTTTCTTTTTGTACATTATTAGTATTATTCATTGCAGCAAGTTTTCTTGCCTGCTCTAATTGCACTTTAAGCTGAGCTGCCAATTCCTAAATAAATAAAATAATTTTAATAAATATGAAAAATACACTAAAATAACTTTTACAATAAATAATGATAGTGTAATAGCATACATTATCTCCCATTATTTCAGCTTTAATAATTCTTGCTCCTAATTTATTCATTTCTGCTTCTGTTAAAATACCCATATTTTTGTTTGTATCCATCTCATTCATGTTACTAATATTCTCTGTTTTGGTTTCTCTCGACTTTGATAATTCAATTAATTCAGATTCATGCTTTCTTTCATCACTTTTATCTTTTTCCAATTTTTAATACGATTATTAGCAGATTTATGTGTAGTTTGTTGATAATAATCGTTACTATCTTTGGGTCTTTGATAGCTAGGTTTTTTTTCTATGGGATGTGAGAAATACTCAGAGGTACTATATTTTCCAGTACGTTCTCTACTTCTAGATCTAGACCTCGAAGAATTTCTTAATCTTGAACCAGAAGTGCCATGGAAATCTGCCTTGTTTCGTCTATCATTGTAATATTTCTTTTGTTCAGCATTTGATATTTTTTCTGCTTTAATGATCATTGATTGTATAGTTTCTAAAGACTATAAAAAAATATTTACTTATATTATTAACTTATACTCATTTATATTATTACTTATATTATTAACATTTAGAGTATATTTATATTATGTTTTAATAACTTACACCCCAACGTTCTGTAGCCACTTGTTCTAGAGTTTTACCATCTCTATGAGCTTGTTCCTCAGCACGCCGAAGACTTTTTTTTAGCCAATTTGCATCTAAAATTTGTGGACTGTCAAATTTTCCTGGGCTAATTTGAGGTAATCCATCACCTCCATCTTTCCAGTATGGATTTAACTCTCTATCACTTTGTCCTGGTCTATCCAGGAGGTTCTTGGTTTTATCTTCTTCTTGTGTATTAGATTTTTGTTTTTTTATATCAGATTTTGATAGATTTGGAAGAAAACTTTCCACATTCATCCAATCATCTCTTTTAAGCGGATTTTCTTGAGTCTCATCATTAACACGGTTTTCAGTGTTATGAGAAGAAGTTTGGTCTTCAACTCTCTTTTCTACCCATTCAAATTTATCACTGTTATCAGTTTCCTACAAAATATATAATTTTTACATAAATTATATAACACATGTTCACATAAATATTAATTATCAATTACAAACTTTTTCTGATCACTCACACTACTTGATGAAGATGAACATTTTCTCTTTTTCTTGTGTTTTTTATTCTTTTTATCAGTTTTCCTCTTTTTAGACTTTTTGCTCAATTTTCTATGCATAGATGAAGCAATATCTTTATTGCTAGATTTTACTTTATCACTTTGCAATGTACAAGTGTCTAATTGTTCCTGAATAATAAAATTATAATTATATATAGAAAATATTTATAATAAATAAAATATATAGCATTATTTAAAATAATTGCATTAAAAAATGTAATATTGCGAGATTTGTAAAAAGAAAGTAACAGTATTAATTTTTTATGCTATTTTTAAATTTATACATATTTATGCAGAAAAGAATAAAATAAAGGATAATTACCATAACTGCAGGATTTACACAAATTGAAAACTATACTAATAAAACACCTAACCTCACTTTTGTATTTGTTCAATAATTAAAAATTCTTTCGATCGACGTAGATATTTACAAGTTCCAAAAAATCTTTTTTTTTTTATTTTTTGAGAAAAAAAATAGTTTCTCGATATAAATGATTAAATTATAATATTCTAAAAGATTGTAGTAACAGGTTAGACTTCTGTTTACATCCACGCATGTCTCGCAATAAATTGCAACTGCACATTTGATCGTATCAAGATCAAGTCGTGTGATTAAAGAATATTTTACTATTCAAAATGATGCAATTTGAAGAAGAAGGTGAAACATTGAAAGATAAATCTCGCTGCGCAAATATTCGCGCCGATTTAAAAATGTGTTTGCTTCAAAGTAACTGCTGCAAAATTGTAAGTATATACGAGATCATTACTATTATAACCTAGCATAATATACAATACATTATACAAGCATAAAAATAAGAGTACGTTTTATAAGAAATAAGATATAAATTTTATAAAAAAAGAAACGACATTTTATTATCTAGTAATTTTTTAATTTGTCGATCGTAATAAATATTGTCTTTGATGCGCATTGATATCCAATTTTTATATATATTATATATATATATTTTTTTTATATATATTTTATATAATTTTATATATATTTTATATATATTAATATTTTTATATATATATTATACTTCAATTTCCGATTTTTAAACAAGTCTTATCAATTCAGAAACATATGAGCATAAATTAATACAAGTATGTTATTTTATTTTTTGTTCTTTACAGTATAATCGTACTCCTAGAGAATGCCTTAGGACATACGATGGCACAGTACCCGATGAATGCTTTGCCTTACGAAATACATTCTTTGATTGTAAACATTCTTTAGTAAGTACAAATTTGTATATTAAATTATAGGTAAATTATAGGTAAATTATATAGGTATTAGGAGACTCAGATAAGTCTACATAGAATTGATACGTATTTCTGTAGTTTATTTCTCTTTCTTTTTTTTTTATCTTTTCATAGATTGATGGCAGACGGCGATTTAGAGGTCCTAAAGGATATTAAATTTTCTAATAATATGTATTTATGTATATAATTGTGATACATTTTAATTATTAATAAATAATTGTATTTCTTTAATAATAATTTAAAAAGAAATAATCTATATGAACAGATAAGATGTAAATATAAAATAGATAAGAAAATTCTAATCTAACTTGTTGATAAGAAAGGGAAAATAAACTATGATTTTAAAAGTAATTTATTATTATCTATTATATTCGTTATGTATACAGGATTTAATAAATCTACTTAATTATACTTCAGAAGTAGTAATGTGTCATGAATATTATACAATAATTGTATATTGAATATTATTGTATTTGTATTGCGATGCAATTTTCAAAGAAATACTTGTTTTTTTATTTCTTTTTTTTTAAAGATAACTTTTTGCCAGATTTAATTGAAAAATACGATGTTTTATATTTTATATGATAAAGTAGCAAAGCTACCTTAAAGAGGCATTATATTCTTCTATAAATCTATATAGAGCATAAATCTTCTTTGTAGAGTCAAACAAGAGATGTATTTCTTTTCGAAGAATAAAAGCGACTATAGTTTAACTCTTTCAGTGTTTCCTATATCATAATTCAGATATATTAGTTTTATGAAAATATATTACAAAATTAATTTTCTTCCGTTTTACTGTGTGCTATATATATAATAAACCACATATATAGTCAATAAAAATGATAATACAGGAAAAAATAACTCTTCTATAATTAATTAAAGCGAAATATTATGTAGAAGAAACAAGATTTTATTTCTCATATTTAATTTGTTTCTGAAAGAGTTAAATACCAATCTCTCATCTTTTCTTAATATTAAAATTTCCCATGTGCCCGCGAAATATTGTGTAAAATCGATATAATGTAATCGATATGCAATGAAGAAATGCGAATGTAGTAGCCAAATGTTTTATTAGCGCAGTTTAATAATTATAATTAATGTTTCTCATTCTAATGGTGTACATATTATATACTGGACACCATTATTGTGTGACATTATACCTCTTTATGTACCATATTCCAAAATTGCGCTTTTTTTTGTCGCAGTGAATCGTAAACACGAATGCGTGTATCGAACATGATACGCATATGATCACAGTAAAATCGAATTTACCTTACTTTCCATTTTTTTTTCTTATAGTTAAGAGCATCTTGTTCCACTTTGTATTCAGCGAGTACGAATCCAGCGTATGATAAGTACGCCATTATAATATCGGGTCGGATATAATTATAAATCTACCGAGTGACGATCACGCCTGCGTAATCATCCTAGCTATTGTCTGTATGCAACACAAGCGTATATTGGCTGTATGATTTTTTTGTACTACAATGCCACACAACTCACGCTACTCCTCCACTCTTTAAAATGACTATAGGCACCTAAAAATGGGATTTGTATAAGCTTTTCCCGACTTTGCTCTACTCTTATCTTTCCCTAATAGGGAGAAGTTTACATTGAATGTGGATAAAATATATTTTATTAACATTAATAAAATTGTATGAAATACAAGTAATTTTTTTAAAGTAGTTGATTATATTTTTATGCGATTGTTTATATAAAAAATAAAGAGATAAAAAAAAAATATATATATATATATATTTAAAAAAACAATTGCATATACTTAATACAGTTTCTTCCAAGATGGAAAAAATTAAGTGTAAAATTAAGTGTAAAACATCATTTATACAATAAAAGAAGTATACCCTTTTATCATTTTAAAGAAGAGTAATATAATTAGAAGAGATAAATGTGTTAAAGTTTATATTTCCTAGAATTGTAATTTATCCACATTAGCATTTGCCGATCAAATTTCGCTTGCGTCAATAATCCGCATATATGAATATATAATATCAAATATATGAAGATAATTGATAAAAGGCTTTAAATTACGTTTTATTGCATCGGCTTTCGAAGTTCCACTATTTTGTATATCTAAATCACCTAAATTGATTTTAATAGTAGCATTTTTTCAAGAGTAGGTTTCAAGAAAATTTATCTTTCATTGTGATATACGCCGCTCGCTCAAATATCACAGTTTATCGAGTATGATATGTAATTAGCGATTATTCGATAGTTACCAATAATGTAAGAAAAGTACGTTGCATATATTGTTATGGTTATGTATTATGTATATCGGGCGATACCCATAGGGCAAACAAAAGTCTTTACATCGGTAACTGTACGTCATTATCTGCTTCACATCGACGCATAGAATGTTCCCATTTCTCAGAAAAATTAGTATCGAAGTTCTTCTATCCTTTTCTTTTATCTGTATATATATAATAGATATTTTTCTCGGACATTTCTCTTGCATAAAGTATATTACTTTCTGCAGCTTACGTACCAATTTTTATTGCTATTTTTGTTTCGTGTTTGGTGATCCTATTCGGGCAACGCTCGTTTGTATGATGAACGAAATAGTAAAGTCGAAAAATACAAACAGGTCCAGTGGCGTATCTAGTCGAGCATGCTGTTTCGTCGATTTTCGACAAGACTTATCTAAAGCGTATACGAAGTTGCGCTTCTTATAATAGATAGTACGATAGTAGAAATCACAGTGTCTCGTTTGTCAGCAGCATTTGTGACGATATATTTTACGATTCCTTCAAAAAAATCAGTATCGTGTCTTCTCTTGGCAGCCGCTATGACTTGGATTGCATTTCTGCAATGAAAATGACAATTGTTATAATGTTGAAATACATATATTAATATTTTCAATCACAAATAAAAATTTAGATGAATAAATTAAAATGTGATTGACAAACGAATTAATACCGTTTCGCTTAGATTTTCCTGTGGAGAGATGCATGTAATGCAATTCGAAACAATACTTCTCGCAGATTCTAACAGTTGGGTAAGGAATCAGAAACACACGGAGGGTCTATAAAGCCCGGTGTATCCGCATAAGCGCGCGCGAAGTGCCGGTAAAAGTATTGCCGCAGCGGATAAATTGTCTTGCAGCTGCGAGCACTCGCAGATTAACAAATACATCTTATCGCCTTGCGATATCGATTTGTGCAAGGTGATGCGCCTCAGACCCACCGATTTTGGCAAGTATCGATACATCATACGCGCACCTATAATATAATATACAAGATGATGTATATATATATTTCGATATAATGTCAGAATAAAACAATTTCTAAACACTTGTATGCAGAATGCAACTTTATGATATACATATGGAAGAATTTTTCATTCATTTTTATTCAGTTTTTTAATTGAATTTAAAATTATTTTTATTTATATTAATTATATCTATCTATATTTTAGATATATATATATATATATATATATATATATATATATATTACAAAATATATAGTATACAATTATTAAAATTAAAAATATATATTTTAAATCATATTAAAGAACTGAATTAAAAAATGATAAAATTTTTCCTATTTATTAGTAGTGTTGTTATATCCATATGTATATCATAAAGTTACATTCTGTATGCAAGTATATAGAAGTTATGTATAATATATAATACATCATACATGAAACAAAATAGCACAATAAGCAATGTATTTATTTACCTGTCCAATAGAGCCAATTTTGTTCAAACTTAAGACCATCGTCACCCTCAAAAACTTTGAAAATTGACACTATATATCCGGTGGATGGAATCGGTGGTCTTCCACCGGGTGGTTCAAGCGGCGGTCTTGCAATAGTCGCTACCTCATTGAACAGATCCAATGTGTGATTGGCCGCATATCTGAGATCTCGGGGATCGAACTTACGTAAGGCCGCGCATTGCACTTCATTGTAAAAGTCCATGGGATCCGTGTTCTGTTTGTTTATTAGATAATATGTAATAAATGGGAAATCCGCTGAAATGAATGAAAAATCTCAGTTAAAAGATCTCAGTTACGATCTTAAAAAGCATTCGTCACACATTATCACATATTTTCTTAATATTCTAAAATTTTTATGTACCGTTCTTCTCCATATTTGTAAGTAAGATACTTTGCGACGCGGAGGGTGCTATCTCAGCGACTAATTCTGCTGCAGTGTCGCGTTGTAAGACAAGCGGACGAGATACTGGAGATTCCATTAAAGGGTCTAAAGGTTCCAGCGGCGTCATAAAATGCGCGAGAACACATTGTTTTGGATCTTCGACCTCGAGGACCGATAAAGGACTTCCTGGCCTCTTCTTGTCAGCAACAGGAGCTTGCTTTAAATAAATCAAAGATCATAAATTCAAATTGCAAAACAGAAAAAATAAAAGTTATATTACTATTTAAATGTTACTAATGTTGCTAACACTCAGAAATTAGTTACACATGAATTCATTCAGACAATTTTTATTAGACAATGTATCAAAGAATTTAATCATAGTTTGAAATAATTTCTCATGATAATATATCATTTAGATTATATAAGGTTTGCAATATATAATATAAAAAAAAAAACATTTGAAAATGTATGATATAGCTAGAATGTAAATATATAATTATATATTTACATTTAATTATATCTATTTTATAATTAATCGATTCTCTTATTGTTTAATTTTTTTATATGCTATGATGTTAAAATCTAATAAGTTTTACAGTTTATAAATTTTTAGCACTTTCTTAGTTTACTTTTATTCCTATTAAATCAAGTTTTTTAAATTATAGAATTTAGAGTTTTATATATATGTATATATGTATGTATATACATACATATATAGTATATATAAATTTTACAAATTAATATATAGTTAAAAATATTTTTCTTAAATTTCAAATAAGATCTATGATGTTGAGAGAATTATCACACACAGTAAACTAAACATACATTTTTTAAAATCTTTTTAAAATACAGATGAATAATTGCATGATGAAGTAATTTTTGCATACTCTCTGTCTCATTTTTGGAATATATTATTTCTAATGTCTTTTTGATATAAGTATATGTATAGTCATTTTTTTAAATAAATTTTATTGAATTTATTTTTGTAAATTAAATAGTCTTTGCAAATTTAGTTTCAATAATGTAATAAATAAAATTTTGACTAATACGTTTTTATTTATGTGATTATGTGTGTTTTCTTAATAAACTTTGATTACTAGTTTGATAATTGAAGTATATGAATAGTAAAGAAAAAGATTGCATGACGTGATAAACTTTTCCGATAAATTCTTGTTAAGAAAAAAAAATATAGCGCACGAGTCAAAGCTTGCGTGCGTAAAAATCTCACCCTTCTTGCTCATTTTCTAACCGGAAGAAACGGCGATTCTTATCAACATCCAGTCCATAATTTCGATGTCTCCTTCTCGCTAATTCGATATGAAATTGAGTGCAATGATGCAATGTTTTTGGCCGCATTTTCGTGTGTATAAATTAAAAGCCCTGATGGATAAAAAAAACATAATAACATATATATCTATAACAAATTACAATTGTACGATATATTTTCGATGTCCTTTTATTACTTCCATGACATTGTAACCTCGTTCCCCAAATTTTATGTGCAATCGTCAAATACATTGTTTTATTGTAGTCGCAAGTGCAAGATTTTAATTTTATCTGTTTAAATACAATATTCCGCCCTTTCCGAAAGTATGAAGCTACTTAACCTTTTTTTTACTTCCATTATAGCCGCGTTTTTCTAGAGATGAGGTATGACAGTTCTTACCAACCCTATAATCCATAATCTATATAATGTATATAGATATCGGATAGATTCATATATATTTAATCCAGAAAAAAGCGGGAAAATTAATAACGAGTTTTTATTTACTTATTTATTTTATATATATTACATATATTAGTAAAAATCTCTTTTATAATAAAAAAAATATTTAAAATATATAATTTCTTTATTCTATAATATGTGGGCGATTCGCAAAGTGAAGTCTATAGTGAAATTTATTATTTATGCGCATGCAGTGACATCTTCGCGCTGATTAGCGGACCGCGAAGAACTTCACTCTTTTGTCTCCGAGGGGTGCCAACCGCGTGCCCTGATTTTTTATCAGTACGAAGTTGGTGAAATTTTCGAATTTTTGGTAAACGGCAATCCATTCAACGGACGTCGCAAGTATCGGACGGGTGGCGGACGTCTCGTCGGGATTCGCGTTAATTTATGCGTCGCGAGCGCGAAAAGTATTCGGAAACGTGGGAAATTCGACGCGGAAAGTGACGGGCGAGTGCCGGAAATCGCGACAGCCGACTCGCACGATCGAAATTAGCCGTGCTGAAGCTACTGGCAGGAAGGACAAAGTACTTCGCAGGCCGGTACCAGTAATGGCGGAGCGACGACTTCTTCGGTATTTCGGAGGAGAGACGTGAAGTTTTCGGACGTCCACGAGCCGGCGAGTGTCGATGATTCGTCTCCGCGATTGTAATCAATCACGTTTTTCGCAATTAGGTCGGACGTAATGAACTTCGTGAAAGGTGGTCGAGGATCGTTCGGTCGATTATTCGTGCTGAATAAATATATATATATATATATATATAATATCTCGAGTGTCGAATCGTAACAGTTTTAAGCGGTAGATCGTGCAATTAGTCGCGCTTTTCCGATCAACACACGTATGTACATAAATGTAATGTGTACATATATGAGTATGTGTGAGGGAGCTGAAGTCATCGCGCCGAATTTCCGAGAATCGAAGTCGGGTTTCGTGTAACGTCGCGTGTATATATGTGTGTGTGCGCGCGAAGCTACACAAAATCTGTTTCGCGTGATTTTCGTGTATGATAAAATCTCGATAAGTGTAGTGGAATCGCAGTCAATGCGATATAAAAGCAGAGCATTGTGTGATTAAAGTGATTTGTGTGAAAGTGACCAGTTATCTCTCAAATTGGATTACTTTGAAGGATTAGCAACGACGGTGCATCGACCAGTGAGTCTCGAATGTTTAACTTTTTTTTGTTTTAATATTCATGACAATTGCTCAGGAGCAAATATGTATAAATAATGACTGAACTTCTGTGTAATTCAATATCATGTCTCTTTTTCTCTATGCATCTTGAGGCACTCTTACTATGTAAATAATACTTGCTGAGGTAACAAGAGATAAAATTCGAGGTAAAAATGCGAAATATCCGTGCATATATTAATATGATGATATGCTATTGGTTTCGAATTTTTTTTTATGCCAATGATATTTTAGATCTCGTTTTGAAGTTTGAAGTATTTTTTCTCGAAATAAATATTAAAAATTTTTAATACTATTAAGTCTATAAAAATCGCAATATAAAACAATAAGATTATTAAAATTAGTAAAAAATAGACTTGTATGTAAGGAACATTAAAAAGTTCAAAAATAAGATCATAAAATTTTTATAAAAAATTAGCATGTACTAAAAATAAAATTTCGATTTAATCAATTAATACTTAAAATTAATATTTAAAAAAATATGTATGATAATATATGTTTTATGACTAAGTAATACTTAATTTAATAGTATAAAGATCAAAAAGAGCTGTATCAATTCCAATAAGTCTTTTGTGTATAGATATGGACAATTATCAAAACATTTCTGATAATTGTTCACGTTTCGTAACAACGAAAGAATAACTCTTAGATTTCAATTTTTAAGATAATTAAAATTTTTAATAAAATGCATTTATATTAAATATTTTTAAATATACACAGAAAGCAGAATAAAAATTGTCTCATTTATTTCTGATATTCTTATCTCATAAATGTTAAATACTAAATTCTAAAAAATGCGTTAACTAATTAAATGAAAATTTTATTTTTAGTACATGTTAATTTTTAACAAAAACTTTATAATCTTATATTTGAATATTTTAATATTATTTACTTCATGTTTATTTTATATAATTATATATTCAAATTATATGCATACACATACACACACACACACACACACACACAACAGTATCCAAATTAATTAATATTAACATATAAATATAATTATTAAACTCAATTAAATTTGTCACTCATTTTTAACAAGATATTTAATAAAAAAATATCTAACATAAAATTTTTTAATATAAGATATGATAAATAATATTCTAATTGTTATATATATTGATAGAAATAATTTAAATAATAAATCTCTTTAAAAATTGTAAAATATTTATATATGTATATCTAAAATATTAATAAATATATATTTTATTGAATGGTTTTCATAAAATAAATTCTAAGACTATTATTTAAATGTATTATGACATAATAGTATAAAATAATCAACGTTGCAAAGATGAAGCAATTACTTTTATAACAAATAATAAATTAAATAAATTATATATTTCTCACTTCGTAATTTGCTTTGCCGTCGTTCGATATTACATTGGGTCTGATTCTCCATTTTCTTATTTATCTTCTTTGCTGTTTCTTCATGATACAATACTCGTGCGAAAACACTTATTGTTAATTATGAATTCGCGCTAAAATGATAAATCAGAAAAAAGGAGCAAGCTCAAGAAAGCATCGAACAACGATTGTAACTGTGAAATAAGTAATGTATAACTTATTTAATTTTTTATTTCATGTCAAAATAATTGCACCATCTTTGCGAAAGTGATCCATTTTATATTATTATAATACAATACATATAACAATATATTTTTTACTTTTATTTTATGACAATTAAAACATTTAATTTAAAAAATATTCATAATTTTTCAATATAAAAAATGTTTATAATTTTTATTTAAGAAAAATACTTGAAAATTTTATATACATATATGTAAGAGATTTCTCATGATTGCTTTTTTAAGTAATTATTGTATTTAACAACTAAATTATTATTTATCATAAACTAGACTCAAACAATTTTTTTTAAGTTAGATTTTTTATTTTAGATTTTGTGTATGTTAGATTTTTAAGTTAGTAGAATTTTTTAATTAAATATCTGTTGAAGGGATAAAGTAAATTTAATTGTATGTATATTATATTATATTTGTTAATATTAATTATTTTGGATACTGCTTTATATATATGTATAATTTAAATATATTTATATATTTTAAATCACGCATAAATATATATCAGCGAAAATATCAGATGCAATGCAGGCCCTCCAGATTCTCTAATTATTATTAAACTTTCTTATTTATTGTAAGCTTATAAGGAACGCATTTACTAATTAATGAATATTAAATTTTAATACTTCAATAACGCTATAAAATTTAACGATACGTTAAATATACTTTTTTATTATTACTTTCATAAAATTATTATTTTTATAAAAAGTTTGATTCACAAAATTATTAATGAGGAATGAAAGCTATGTGAAAACCTAGCATCAAAGTTTTCAAAAAACATTTTTAATACAGGAAATGATAGCACTTAATTTATAATTGTCTGTAATAACAATAATTTCATTTCTAGTTTTATCAGTTAAAAAATTAAAAAAATGTTTTAAATGACTAGCATGATCTTTAAGATATTTTAAATCTGCTTGCGCAATCTTTTTAAGAATCGTTTCTAGTTGTTTATAATAACAATAATTTTGTTTGTAATAAATTAAAAAATAAAAAATTATAATTTATTTTCTAATTTTTTACATTTTTAAAGATTTTAAAAAATTTATAATTCATAAAACTACAAACGAAATTATTGTTACTACAAACAACTTTAAATGATTCTAAAAAGGACTGCGCAAGCGGATTTGAGATATCTTAAGTCGAGTGATGGTACTTTAAAAAATTTTTTTATATTTTAATTCACTACAAACGAGAAAAATTATTGCTATTACAAACAAAATATTATCATTTTCCGTATTAAAAAATTAATTTATTAAAAGTCAGGTTCTATAGATTTAAATAGCTGAATGCGTGATAAAAATAAAGCATATTTCTAAGTTGAGTAAGACTTTAAGCGGAGATAGATCGATATCGATCTTAAGGAGGAACGAATACTTTCAGATATCAACTCCATTTGCGCTTTTCTTTTTATCTTTTTAGAATAATCATTTTAGAATCATTTGTGATGTTTGTAGTAACAATAATTTTGTTTGTAGTTTTATGAATTAAAAATAAAACAATTTTTTAAAATGTCCAGCACTCGACTTTAAGATATTATAAATTTGCTTGCGCAGACTTTTTTTAGAATCGTTTGTAATAATTTATAGTAATTTTCCTTTTATTCGTAGTTGCACTGTTTAAAAATTGCAATCGTTTAAACAAATTGTCCAAAGTGATTTTTTTTTAATTTTTAATATTTTTAAAATCTGCTTTTTCCAATATTAATTTCGATTGCATTTGCTATAAATGAATGAGTCTGAATAATTTAAATAAAGCATATTTGAAAAATTTTTTAAATTGACAAAGTTCAGTTTTGACCATTTGTTTAAACAATTGTAATTTCTAAACCGTGCAACTACAAATGGAACAAAAATTATTACAAACAAGTATACAAACGAAAAAAATCTGCAAGCGGATTTGAAATATTTTAAAGTCCAATGCTGGTTATTTAAAAATTTTTTAATTTTTTAATGTAAAATTACGTTTGTAATTTTTGGAACTACTACTTTCTTATGGAATTTCAAGCCAATTTACTCGAAAACATGAAAAAAAATATTTTCTTTTATCATAACTTCTTAATAATTTTCTTTATAATGTTTTATTCAAAAATTATTTGAATATTTTATCGAAATTTTAGTTAATAAAATTCGTTTTTAAATAACAAATATCTTGTACATGTAATTACTTTTCACAAATTCGGAGTTAACTTTCTGTATAAAAAATATATATTTATTTGGGGTTAAATAAATCAAAGATAAATTTTTTTGTTACTCACTGGTACACCCGCTGGTAAAAAACGTTCGAGAGAAGCCAGTGGTATGATAAAACAGTCACGGTCCAAAGTGGCCAAAGAAATTGGTTCGCCTCGCGGTGGACTGTTTCCGGAAACTACTAGGGGTGTGTAAGTGCCGGAAGTACGGTTACCGCTGAAAGTCACCTGCTAAAATGATAATACAATTAGAGAATTATAATTAGATATACATAACACTAATATTAACAGCTGTATTTTATCTAAGAAATTGCTTCCACATCAATTATATGTGCACAATTATCTCATATAGTTTGTGCACTACAGAATGCATATTATTCAAAACATATATGCACAAAATTAAAATATATTTGTCTCATTAATTTTAATTGATATCTACAGTAATTCTCTCCCAGATTAGATTTTTAATTTGATTGTAAGCAAGTGCGATATTTACTGATACCGTTATTTTTGGCAATTTACAAATCAAAGTAAATAACAAATTTAATTTGTTTCATTGTAGTATATAACGATAAATTTTATTTAATGTATAATAATATAAATTTAATAAGGCACAAATATAATGAAGCTGTTTTATATAATAAATGTAAATAGTCTTAATCAATTTTATCATAATTAGACCTACTAAAATTTTTGATAATGCATATTTAATACACACATAATTTAAAAGCTAAAAATTATTCTAGAGCAATTTGTTTACCATCGGAAATCACTAGTATCGTATTAAGATAAACGAAAAATTGTTTTCTTAATTAATTAAAATTGGATTTACATTAAAAATCGAAAATATTTAAAAATATTTAGATACTAAACTTTATCTTATATAATTTTAAATATATTGTACATATCTTGCAGTAACGATATGATTATAAAAGAGGGATATATACGTTTAAAATTTATATTAAAAGCTAATTATTCATATTGTATATACACAATATATATACATATATGAATAATGATGCATTTGCTTTTAATATAAATTTAAAAAATACCTATTTATATTTAAAAAATTTTATAAAAGAGTTTTTCTGATTTTATGTATAATGGCTGAATTGTATATATTATTCTGCATTTTATATACTAAACAATTTTACTGTGTTTAAAATGATCGATATCAATTTATGAGTCATCGCAAGGTTCAAAATGAAAGAATTGGGGTTTCGGTAGGTGTGTATATGCAATATGTGTACATATATAGATCCATATAAACTTATCCAGATACATTTATACACGCAATAATAAAGATGTCAAGAGATAATACGTGTTCAAATAAAATAAGAGTAGGCAGTGGTTATAAGCGAAAAAGACATAGCATGGCATGTGTACGTATGCGCTTCGCGTCTGACTCGACTCGTCCTTTACTTCTTGCGCAAACGGTCACCATCGGTAGGTCTGCTCGCGTTTTTCCCGCCGTACGTTTCACCTCTTAGCTCCCGTAAAGCCTTACAGTTTTATAGTTCACGTACGCGCGATGCAGCATGGTTTACGTTGCATGTCAATTTTGCAAGCACGCTCGGCGTTAGCGATTGATCACACCGCTTCGTAATTTTTTATTCCTCTACGCCCTAGTAACTGTGAAATGTTGTCTTTTACAAAGCAGAATCGAATAGAATATATACGAAAGAGATATATATTTTGGAATAAAATAATTTATTGCTATTTCTTAGTGTATAAAAATGAAAACGTTATTTATAATTATGTTTTCCTCTCTTTAATCAATTCTGCTTAACCGAGTTTTTCTAATTTTTTGCAATTTAATTTAATTGTGAGATTTTTCACGTTTTTCTATATACATATCATATCACTGATTTTATATATTATTTCAATATTCCACATACATAATGGTAGAAAATACTCTAAGGTGCACATCATTAATGTATTGTGCGAAATGCACATATGCGGAGAAAAAAAAATGACAGAATCGATAACAATTTACATGCTGTTTAATGTGTAAAAATAGTGTGACGGATAACGTAGTGACTAATACAAGACTTCTACTTGCATTATGTTTACACGCACGGCACGCAGCTAGATTTAAAAAACGTTTGTTTTTACATGGCAAAATTGATTTGTTTTTATATTATAAAATTTAAATTAATTCTAAATACTGCCTAATTATTTTAATGATCAAAATATAAAATAGCAAAATATAGAATAGGATTTTATTGTTTAATAAGAAACAAACTCATCTATTGTTTTTTTACTACGATATACATTCGTTTGCAATATTATGCATTATCATTTTTAAACAAATATATTTACATGTGCGCGTAAACACATTCATATTAAAAATGCCGGATGTTATATCTTATATATATGTATTAATTAAGACAGCTAAATGGCTAACTTATTCAAGAATAATAGTTGGGAAACATTAATTACGTCATTTTTTTCTTCTCGATATATTAATATTAAAGATTAAAGATGTATGCAGATTAAACAAACGCTTGTAATCAGTTATAATCAAACACATGCACTCAACGCGTTATAAAGTGTTTTACAAATTGTCCAGTGTTTTCTTAAAAAATAATATATTTTTTAACAAGAAGAATATTGCAACTCGAAAACAATTGATGAGATAACGCTAGCATTAATGTTTAAACATCGAAATTACATTGCATAAATATAATTTAGTTTTTTATGAGTAGAATTTGCAATGTGATATAAAATTAAATGTTGTCTGTTAATTTTATCTAATGTAATTTGCATTTTCTTTCGTAAATTGAATTTGTGGTAGACAAGTTTACATTAAAAAAAATAAACTATTTCTTTAATGTAATATTCATTGTATTATATATTATTTTTAAATAAGCAAAAGAGATATGTCGAGTTTGAAAATTGACAAATTGTACTCATTTCATTTATAGAATGCGTTTTTAGAATGCAAACTTTCGCATCTTTTTTTGCAATAAGAAATGCAATTCGCACGCGATTCTCTGCGTGGGAAAACATTTTTTTACATTTGCATATTGAAATACGCGGAAAACAGCCTATTTTGATATTTAATCGTGTTGCGCTGCGGGTATGCATGATGGTAAATGTTCACGGTACGCATTGTAAAGGTCAAAGATCGTTATACGACACTGCAGTCTTCGTTAGATTGTAAAAGCCGCAGCAATACTTCAATCGCGAATTTCTGCACGTTACGTCATATGCTGCACATTCTTTTCGATCATGCGAAAAGTATAACAAGAAGTTTGCTCTCTCCTTCATATATCGTTTTATATCTTCCAATATTTCTTGTGCATTGATTTATTTCTCGACTCGATCGTAATAATTATATTACGAGAATATTGTGTGTATATACATATATGTATATAAAATATTTTATTCTAATGTCAAAATTAATAATCATATTGTCCTTTAGCAAAATTTTATGATGATCATTAAATGAAATGTCATTATGTCATTATTGCGTATCCCTCAGTCTGTTACTGAATTTAAACACTCGTTAAATTCCGTTTGTCGACCAAGCGATGCAACCGTGAATTTTATTGCACTATTATGCTACGTAATGCGACTGCAACCCGAAACTGTCTCTTCTTGTGTGTGGAAAACGACGTATTAAATTTTGGCGAAGACATATCGCGATGGGAATGCGATATGAGGAGTTTTTGAATCGAATGAGAAGTCAATAGTATACTATACAATTAAATTGAGTATATCGAATACTTGCATCACGAATTTATAATTTCTAAATCATCATGATGCGCAATAAGATAGCGACTTCGCGTGTTGCAGAGATGTTATTTTATACCACTCCTTTCATAAATGATGTATATATTTTCTCTAACTTTGCTTTATTCTTCGCTATCTGGTGGCTCATTTTAACTATGACGATATAGCACTTGATTCTAATAATAATTATAGTAATCGAACGTAATTAATTTTTGTTAAAAACTTGATATTTATTATACTACATTTGATTAATTTTCATTTTTTAAAGATTAAAATAAAATATAAAATAATTTTATCATAAGATTTAGTGTCTTCTCTTGAGTGGATAATTGATTAAATCATATTTACGAGTGTAAAATTATTTATAAATCCAAATAAAAAATATATATGTATAATATAATATACATATATCAATACAAAATAAAAAAACCATATTTGTATGGGAATATAGAATAGAATTATCATAAATTATAGGACAAGCCTATTTCATATATATAACCTGAAATTTTTATGTAGATGTGTTGACGACAGTTCGAAAGTAATATGAGCTAATGAGATTATGAGATACATATATGTATATACGTATATGTAAATATATGTATATATGTGTATGTATACGTATATATGTATATATATTGGCTATTTTTTAATTCATCGTAATTAAATGCAGCACTTTGCTACATTTGCGCATAAAACGATTGAGCAATGATGAATTAAAAATATTGCCATATACGTCATACATATATCGCTATGATACAAACTTTAAGATAACCTTACTGCAACACATTCATCTCTTGACTCACAATAATTTTAATATCGCGATTGCGCGTTAATTCTGTTCCTCATCTTTATGATTATTGTAAAGAAAATTACTATAATTGCTTATTGTTAGTTGAAAATATAACATTACTGATAGCTTTTCGTGTGTGACAAGAAACAAAAGATGCTTATAATAGTTTATTATATTATTTTATATTATATTCCACGACTAATATTACTTTTAACTTTGCTTATCAATATAGATAAAATATATATATACATATATTTATATATTATATCTATTATATATAATATAATATACATATATATATATATATTTTTTTTTTTTTTTAAATACATATTTTATCATGCAAACTTAATTATGTTCATCTAAATAAAAGATTCAGACAATTTTCTGTGAATGAACACAGTTGAAAAATTTGTGTTGAATTAAACAGATATCACATGTCCTAAACGGTCCACAGAAATTGTTATGTTAATTTAACATTTTAACACAAAATAAATGCAAAACTTCAAGCAATTTAAAATAAATTTTTTGTAAAATTAATATATAGTTTTAATGTAAAAATTAACTAAAAATATATTACATTTATATTTTCATCGGCGTGTTATTTTATTTCAATGTGTTTGATAAAGACAAAACTAAAAAAATTGATATAATATAAATGAAAAAGGTGATTATTTAAATAGTTTATAGTGACATGTTTGTTTCGATTATCGTACATAATGCAGATTGTATAATTGATTTAAATTTTTGCTTTTTTAACTTCCGAACCTTTTCATTGTTGACAAAAATATCTCAAGGATTTCATGATTTAACATTTAATTGATTTATCATATAGATATATGCAAATTATATATTTAGAAAAAATAATACTAAAAAATCAGGGAAAAAATTAATTTCTGGTTTTGGAAAATCTGACAAAGTCCGGGAATTTTTTTCATTGAGTCTGCTGGCCATCCTGCTTTCGAATTCGTTATAATTTTCAATGATATTACCTACCTGCCTAGACGCAGTCGGGGTCGGTGGATCGGAAGGTTCTTTTTGCTGGCTCATCTGGTTTTGCTTTCTCCTGGCTTGATTCGCAGTCTGTGCGCCCTGCCCGGAATTGACGGGCCCGCCACCGCCCCATTTGATGACGTGCGGCCCCGAATTTCGGCGCGGCGGCGGACCCAGCCGCTCGCCCGGTTCCTCCGGCGGCGAGCCAAGTGCCCCACCTGCGGGCGGCGACAGGAACAAATGAGTACGATAGCCGTGCCCCTGGTGCTCGTGATCGCCCATCGATGGATAGTATCCGATATCCCGGCTGCGTCGTGCTGTGGGTCCACGTGCGCCGCCGACCGCCGATTGGCCGACGCGCGCCGCGCCAAAACGCGTCCCTAGCTGACCGAACGAGGCCCCGGTCCCGTAAACGGTGCTGCCTAGGACAGGCCTGACTTCTCCCAGTCCTCCTCCGCTTATTGTTAGTCCGCCACCACCGGGTCCCTTCTCGCCTCCGAAATTCTTGCGGAACATAAGATTCATGACTGACGTCAATGCGCGATTTCAGGTCACTATATCGGCGTATATATTTCTTGTGATGTATATATATATATGTATATATATATATATGTGTGTGTTTTTTCTTTTCCTGGCTTTTTACTCGACCGTTCGTTACGTTCGGCCGATTCGGTCGGGTGCTCGAGGATGCGCATGGAAGAGAGACATTGGTGGTGGCGGTGCGCGACGATCACAAGGCAATACGGGGACGTTTAGCATTTCTTTAGGTTTTTCTTAAATTCCGATACACGATTTCGTCTTTTAGACTTTGCCGTTTTTCCGACACACAAGGTCTTTTTTTTGCGCACGATCCTTTCCGGGCCCAGCCGCCTAATTTACGGCGGAGTGTATTGCGAGATTAATGATACATTTTTATAAACGGCAATTTGGGCGTATGATGTTTTATCCGAGCCCAGGAGAAATCGGCGTGATGTAACACCGGACAACATTAAGATCGTAGTTTAAACCGCTCGTGCTAAGGCGCTGACAATCAATCCTCTGACAGAGGATACTCGCGGAAATGTTCCGAGGTGCTTAACTTTTACCGACTTTTTACTGCCGTGTCGTACTAAAGCACTCGCGTGGCTGATCTAGGTCGAATGAAAAGAATGATAACGATCTTCTGTCGCGCGATCTCTCGACCGAAATACACGGAGGATAATCGAAACTTAACTTCAGAATACTGAGAACGGATAAAATCTATGCGCACATTTTTTCAATATATATATATATATATATTAAAATAGAAATGAGAAAAATTTAAACATCTTAATGTCTTATTATATATAAATATATTGAATTACTATATAAAAATGACACTAGTATATAATAAAGCACAAAATTATCGAATAATCTGTTCTATTTAAATAGTTTAACATTTTTTTAAATATATGCATCTATTTTATTTTCAATGTATATGAAAACTATTGCTAATATTTCTAAAGTTGTTAATATTTGAGGATATTTTTAGTCTGTCGAATATGTAAATTTTATTAAAACATTTTAGATGTGCAAAAGTTAGATTAATTTTTTTGTGACGCCTATTTGTTGATGTAATGTCTCTGTGTTTTTAAAAAACGTGAGCAGTCTAAGAAATCATGAATTTATATCTGAAAACTAAGTTAACATCACTCACGTTATTTCTCCGAACACTATCCATAGTTTAGAAGAATGTATAAAAGAAAAGAAAGTTTTAAAGAAACCTGCATAATTAAACAAGATTGATGTTTTGTCGAGAAATGACTTGTTCGAAATACTATAAATATAATTGAAAATCTAAAAACGATCTGCTCTTTCTCTCTCTCTATTATTTTTCCTATTAATTGTTATATTAAAATGTATAGAATATATTTTTAATAATAAGATAAATTCGAGATAATTTCACGCATATAATAGATACATACGATATATGATACAAAATAAATAAACTGCATACTTTCAAGCTAACTAAATAAATAACTTTAGAGATCGCGTTAACTTAATGCACCTCACAATTATTATTCTTCTAGTTGTAAAAGTGTCACTGTGTCACGTAAACACGTAAGAACACATCACGCAGTCAAAAAATAATAAAAATCGAGAAAATCGAAACACACTAATTCAATATGTGGAATAAGTATCAAATTATTCGTTAACATCGTTGCGATTCAGTTTAATTTACTTTATCGATCAAATGTACAAGCTTTATAATTCGATACACTTAGTGGAGTAATAACGAAAAGTACACTTGTTAAATCAAAGTCGTTGAACGATAATTGAAACAATAATTTTAACGTCCAAGGTCGCATGCGAATAGATTGTTTTAATGTTTTGTTAATCTGATACATTTCAAAAAGCGATATGCAACTCGTGCTATCCTTTACGATCGTTAGATTCACTAGTGATGTAATATTTATTTTGAATATTTAACAATATTATTTGTTTGTTTATTAAAAAATATGCACTATTCGGTATGTAATAATTTATACATTTTATATCAAAATTTATTTGGATTTAAATTTGTTTGATATTCTTCGCACTTTTTTGAAAAATTAAATTTGTGAGAAATTTAAATTGACCGCAGGATAATAAATGTGCGATATCAGATTAAAAAAGACACGATAGTATATACGTCGACTAACGTTTGCCACTTCGTGGTGGACTGTCTCGTCGTAGGAACAGCAGAAGCTTTAATAGTCTCTCGATTGATCTAAAGTAGACTGCTTTGCCAGTAACATACGGCGCAGACATAGATGCGTAAAAACGAGAAATTTATTTGATTCCTTTTAATGCTGTGCATTTTATGCGATAATAATAAAGAATGCAATTTATATCGACTCGAAGTCTTGAATATTTTTTGAAGTACATTGACTGCAGTGCCAAGATTTTCTATATTGAAATCATTTAATGAATAAAATCTCTCATAATCTTAGAATACTTTGTAACTGTGATTTTTAAACTAATATTATCGATAAAAATATGCTATAATATTAAATATTTAGAGATTTTTTTATTGAATTTATCTTGTTTGCGACATTTTTCTAATTTAATTCTAAGTTTAAAAGCTTGCAAAATAAATATTTAAAACATTCTATTCACATTTGTGATAATATAGATGATATATACAATAAAAACGACATTCTAATCGTATGTCTTATTTTTATAATATAAATATTACAAAGTCAAATTTTTCTTAAAAAATCTGATTTCGAAATAAAATAGTATTTTTGCAACTTATAATTTAAATTTGATATTTTAAATACATGATTTGCTTACTTTGATAATGATGCAAATCAGTTAACGAGGTAAACGTCTTTGACTATTTTATTGGATCTATAGCTGGCAAGGTACGTGACCGTGAGTTTATATTAGTTACAGAAACAAGGCTATCGTTTTCAAGAGAGTATCATTTTCTTTCTTCATAAGCTTTAATACAATATGTCGAATTAAACTAACGCATATGTTTTAAGAAATGTTAAAACATTTAAATAATAAAATTTTCTAACTAAATAAGATATATGTGAGCATATATGTGTATATATTCATTCTTAGTATTCTAAAATTAAATGTGTAATAAAATATAATATAAAAATAATTTATTTCGTTTTTATTTAGAGGAAATAAAAATATTGAAACTCGAGAAGGTCGATCATCTAAAGAGTTTTAATAATTACGTGCAAGAGAAACAAATTGCCTGAATGCTGCGATACTGCGGCAATAAACTACGGAAATTTATCCCGTTGATTTCTAAACGAAATCCGCCGAATTTGCTCTGCTATCAAGTCACGTATCGTGGAGAAAATTCAACTTTTCCTTGTAGTAAAGTTGAGATTAACATTTATCTTCGGATTTACATTAAAGTAGTGTATGCGGTTTTAAGTTCTGTCAGAATAGTGAATATGAAAGTATTCAGAATTATTATCAATATCACTATTTTATAATTATATAATTAAATATCTGATGGATTAAATTTTAAACATTTACACATATTAATCACACATATTATTCTAGCTATAATTACTCTGCTCAATAAATATTTCTATTTAACATTCAAGAGTTTCGAATTATAATTTAAAACAAGAATCACTTTTCCTTATTTAATTATTCTTAATGTTAAATTGTTAAGTTAAAACCTTTCTTTCTATTTTTTTTTATTTTTATTGTTCTATTCATATATCTCAATTTCATCAATCAGTTATTTTGATAGTCATACTTTGAGTGAAATTCAAAGCTAATCTCGATCGATTATTCTGACTTCATCGTGACTTTTATCTTTTTCTATACAACGCAGTATATCATACACACAAAAAAAACATAGTCTAACATGATATTGATTTTTTACTTCGTTGAAGAGAAAAACTTTATACTAAAAAGTTGTATTAAAACAAACTCTTTGCGCGTATATTTTTTTCATGAAATTCCGATCGTTACGCTAACTTGATTGACCGCAAATGGTTGCAATTACTAGAGGAAACAATCGTTCAAACTCCCTGCAAATTTTGGAGTTTTACATGTGGAAAACAAGCGAGCAACTCTGTCTCCGTGATAATATGCGAGTATATGCATAGACAAGGACGAGACGGTCGTCTATCACCGCTGTCGGAATGCCATTACAAACGACACCGACACAAAACTAACGACTGATCAAAAGCTACAATTTTATACATAGAATTTGCAATGCGAAGATCTATAAATATTTTTCACAACATGATAAGGACACAATGCGTAATAATTAAATGCACTATTATATACGACGAAAACGAAAGCGGGAGAGGGATATAGAAATGGATATAGGAATGAATGATTTACAGTTGATTTATATCGTTTTGAAATATTCACGTAGAGAAGACGGTTAAAATATATCACGTTTTTTTGAGATGTTCGATTATATGAATAAAAAATATCCTCTTGAGCGCGAAAAAAAATGTATAATACTTTTTTCTATTTTATACATTTATAAGGTATAATAAATTGTAATTATAAAAATTATGATAAAAACGTGCGTTATCTTTCGTTAGTTTGTTGGATATTTTTGTGATAAAAGATACAAAAAATACTTGGCGCATAAAAATAATCAGATAGAAAAACCACGCAGTTATATTATCTCGACATTAGAAAAAATAAAGTTGTAAAAACACGAATATATACTCTTTCTCTTGAAATGCCTGCTTTGCTGCTCTGTAGATCGATACTACTATATATTGAAATATTTACGAATAATTCGATTGACGTGAGTGCGCACAGCCGCATTACAAGGGTAAAGCGCAAAGTAAAAGAAAATGATAATTGTTAAGGATTTTTATCTATTTATGTTTTCAACATTGATGACTGAGCTTAAACTTTTTTTTATATATATCATATAATTTCACAATTGTATTCGCCATGTAAAAGTATATAAATGGTATATTATTCATTCGTATCAGATATATTCAATGGCATTGAATTCCGCGTTTATTCTATTCATCTGAGACAGGCGAGGAAAAATAACGTCAAAGTCACGATAGACAGGGGCATTTGTGAAACACGTGTTCCGTGCAGATCGATCTCGTATTGTAATATTCACACTATACACACGCGATTGACGCCAAGGTTCGGATCTTGCATCTCTAACAAGATAACGCGGATAATACAAATGAATGAAACTTCACCGGTCGCGATGTGTGATGACATTTTTGTGTTAATAAAACGCAAGTGGCAAATAACGCGAGTACGGCTTTTTATACGAGAATTCAATTTGTAAATGACAACTTACTTCGATCTTGCAATCCAATAACAAAGTAGTGCCGCGCGCAGAATGCGATCTCGAAATTTAAGTAATATCTCGGTGCGGCAGTCTTATTAATATTTGACCAAGTTAATCTCATGCGAAAAATTCAAGCATCGTATCATCAATCATCGTGTTATCAAGAGAATAAGGGTGATCGGTATCACGTCGGTATTCATGAAACTCTCATGTTTTGCGCGGTAGATCGATAGCGCTTTGAAATATTTACACGCGCGACACGACACACGCACGCACATTATCGCGAGGGAAAGATTTTTTTTTCCGAAGTGACAGAATGACAGTATAATGTGTATAATGGTAGCCTGATATGTGGGACTGCACGTGGGATGGAAGGGAGATTTTTCTACGAATACGACGAATACACGACATCATAGGATTTAAAGAGTAACAGACACTCATGACACACACGCGATATAGATCGATACTGATTGAAATATTCACTGTGTAACGCGATGTGTGCCGTGACGGCGATACGTCAAGGTCCCTCCACGAAGGTTATTATCTCTGCTTGTCCCGACTCGCTTGATCATCCAGATATGCGATACCACGCGATGCCAGCTCGACGGCGCGCGTGTCACGATGGTATGCACCTTGGTCGAGAGAGGATATACGGTCCTGAAGATACTCGCACGCATTCGCGGCATTCACTCATTCAAGGGAGAGTGTACTTTCTTGCGTTCGTATATACTTTGAAAGATCACGATAGGGTGCGCGGAAGAGAAAGGGAGAGATGGAGAAACGATGCGGGATGGAAAGAGACGGAACGAGCGTAGAGACGCGGCGCGCTCCGGACGAACGACACCTTCGCACTGAGGCACGAGGCATCGCGACGCTTCCCAGGGCCGTCGAGAAACCGCAGCTCCCCGCGACGTGCTAATCTAGTAGATACGCGAAGAAGACAACACGTGTGTGATTCGCGGCTACGCGCGATGTCTGTCTGTGCCTAATTCACGCGCAGGTGTCTAGCGGTCAAAGAAATCTGGAAAATCGGGCATTATGTCAGGGAATTTTAGAAACCTGGAATTGTCAGGGAAAAGTGAGGAAATTTTACTATTTATCTGAATTTTTTCACTATTCTTTTCATTATTCTACATTTGTCTCAATAATTTGAAAATTTTTATTAAATAATAGAAACTTTTCCTTGACGTCTAGCACGCTAATTTTCTGTGTTGTTAAAAATCGATTCATCTACAACGTGTTTGTTCATTTATATTTTCATCGTCGTGTTATTTTATTTTAATGTATTATTTAATAGAGATAAAACTAAAAGATGTGATATAATATAAATAAAAAAAGTGATTATTTAAATAATTTTTAGTGACATGTTTGTTTCGATTACCGTACATAATGCAGATTGTGATAATGATAATTGATTTAAATTTTTGTTTTTTTAACTTCCGAACCTTTTCATTGTTGTCACAAAAATATCTCAAGAATTTCATGATTTAACATTTAATTGATTTATCATATAGATATATGCAAATTATATATTTGGAAAAAATAATATTAAAAAGTCAGGGAAAAAAATTAATTTCTGGTCTTGGAAAATCTGAAAAAGTCAGGAAATTTTTTTCATTAAGTCTGCTGGACACCGTGACGCGGAATAATAATTGCCACCTCGCGCGCGCAATTTCGATAATATGGTTTTTGTTATTGGGGAGATAATATTAAGTTATTACGCACATTATTGCATGCTTGGCAAGCATCTTGCCAGCGTCGGTATCTATTTTGAAAGCATTCTGACGCAGGCAGAAATTTTTGAACTATGATCGCAGTTAAATTAAAAATTAATTTTTATCGGCTATAATTATAATGAGTAATGAGTGTGTGGATGCGCTATCGCATTTGCTTACTCAAAGAAATATTATTCCACGAGTGCGTGAACGAGGAGATATATTACCTATAGCCTTTCAAAATTAAACCATTTGCTTGCGTAAAGGTTGATATAAATCAAAGAGATATTTTTTATATTAGTATATCAAATTGCATTTTTATGCGAGTTTATTTGTGTTACCAATAATTTCATTAAAAAACATCAAAATAATTTTCCTAAAATATCGTAATATCAGTTATAAAAGATTCAACATTTTGGAGAATAGAATAAAGTGAATTTCTTAATTAAATTAGATTTCGAAGAGCGAAAACATGATTTTAAAATTATCAAGCGATTTTTTTATCACTTTAAAATCATTGGCTACAAGATTTTAATTTCATGATTGAAGTGAACAAAAATAGTGCTCGTGGAATATAAAATGCATATAGGTTGTCATGTTTCTTCGCAAAAATTAATTTACAAAAGATATGAAAAAGAGATATATGTGTGCGACATCCCGCGCTAATTAGACACTTGTACCATTTTTTGTATTAGACATACATAAAAAGAAATAACCAGCGAATGTTATTATTCGAAATAACGACATTATGAGTAATTAGATAATTGGAATGATAAAATATATTTTTAATACATATATACATTTTACTGATTAAATTATAATTATATAGCGTAATTTATAAATTATTTTATTATTGAAATATTATAATATAATACTTATTTAATGATTAAAATAACTGTATAAGTTTTAGAGCTGAATTAAGAACATATTAAGCTGTTATTTTCAACAATGAGTCGTAATAATATATATAAGAAATTTTTTTTTGTAATATCAGCGAAAACCTTGATCACGCGGCAAGATCATCTATTTTTCAGAATTGATAGTTTTCTGACATTGTTCGAGAAATTCTGCCTGCCAAGAATCACACATTTACTGGTGACAGACAGAAGATAGCTTTTTTCTTTGAAAAAATTCGTCTTTCACGGGTCAATAGTTACTATTCAACACGACATACATATTGAAAAAGAGAGAGAGAAAGAGAGAAGAATAAAAGTAGAAAACACTCGTCCGTATCCAACCATCGCGATTGTTGCACTCCGAAAGATTTATACTTTAGTTGCCAAGAGTTGGCACGCCTTTTGCCTTAATAAAACGAGGTGATGTTCTTGAATGTGTGTGGCTAGAAGTACTTCGATTTATCTCTTTCAATTAGTGGCATTTCCGTCGTCGTCTCTTTATTGCTTTACTTATTTCCTCGAGCCTATACTTGTGTGCTGCCCTTAAATCACACACAAACCGATACAAGATTATAGAGAGTCGATACTTCTGTCGAGACATTAAAATGATGGACACAAATTGTTTCGAATTTTTAGGCAGATCGGCAGAATTTGCAATCGATTTAACTTCTCGGCTTCACGGTCGCTCCTGCGATCGAAGTCTTTCGGAGAGACAAAACTTACTGTTATTTACTGTGCCGCGACGTGCATTTATTCTTGGCAATACGTTTGAAAACTAAAGTTGTCGCGAGTATTAATAGTGCGACGGTAATATGGTAGGGCTATGAATACCTCAAGGTGTTCGACGTGACAGACGACTCACGTTGGCACAGACTTGACAGACGACACTCGAAAATCATCGATCTGGTATTTTGATCTAGCCGAGCTAGTTCGCAGTGTGACTTTTCAATTCGTTTTTTCGAACATTTAATATTAAGAAAAATTTATCTGCTGTTTGTATTATCAATATAATGCAATAACGAAATGAAAAATCGATCGATTTCGATCGAATTTGCTCGAGCTATCGAATAACATTATTAAGATACGAGGCATTTTGACACTTTCTTCATATACTGTTTATTTATTGAAATTTATACGAGGTATTATTCTGAAAACATATTGACATCTCTTTAGTGGTCTCTTTAGTAGGTTTCTTTAGTTTTTTTCACATGATTTAAAACCTTTTTTTAAATATAATTCTTTAATTTAAAATATAAAATAATATATATTATAAAATAAATACAATTTACCAGCACATTTCTTAATAAATACTCTTAACGAGAAATGTTTATTGTTAATCAGGGATATTTTAGAAAAGACCTGCGTGTTGCAAATATGTGAGAAATATTACATGGATATAAATTTTACGACCTACTAGCACTTTTACGATTGATCACAAAAGGTCTATAAATCGGAAAGTAAATTCAAAAAATGATTGTGTGCATGCTCATTTTTCAGATTATGACATACTCGGAATTACAAGTATAACATCGATTAAGTTGCAGCTTGCGTGCGTTCCGTAACCTT